TGATACTATGACATTAATCATACAAATGGAATGTTGATTAAAATTTTAAAAACTCATTCATATGCTCAGATGAATTTTTTTTTCTCCAATACCATGCATTCATGTTAATAACTCAGCCTAACATCAATCTCCTAGGCAAGAAGATTAACGATATAGAAATATTGCAATAAAAAAAATACACGAGTCATTAAAAATGTAACCTTGGCCTATCATCCTGGAATGACAGGTATAATAGGCCAGCTGTCATCGCATTGGAGGCCAATGCAGTGACTATATATTTTTGCACCCAAACTACCTGGGGATATAGCCAAAAAACCCGCATTTGCTGGGGGGGAGATAACCTAACAATTTTTACCATCTTGTTGCCTTCAGCTAGGGGTGAAAGTTTTACCCAGTTCTAAACTATAAAATCAACCAAAAGACTATTAAACCTAGAAACATATTTTCTTATTTATGGATGTGGTTTCTTTTAATGGAATAAATCTTAGTGCAAATCTCCCTTTGTTTGTTTTGGTCTGTCTGCAGGGCTTCCATTAGTGGAAGCTTGGGAGTTATTTTCTCCTGATTTTGGATTGTTACTTCCAAACTATAACACTTTTCTTTACCTATATAATGTGACTTCCAATGAACTTGGACATTTTGCAGTCTCTGGCTTCCAAATTTTGGAACTTAATGGAAGGAAACCCTGTGTCTGGTTTTAATTCTGATTTTATATATATCTTAGGGTCAGTCCATCTGAACGGAAATTAAGCTTTACCCAGAGATCCAACGAGAGACCACTAAATGTTTTGACTTTCATTAACCCTTGTGCTTTTCTTGTTTGAGATTCCACAGAGAAGGGTGTACAAGGAGTGGTGACATCATAATAAGAATGAATTTTGGGGATTACAAATCCAATGCTTATTGGACCTATATCTATATTAGAGACTAGTAATCCAATCAAACACTTCCCGACCTATAAATGTCAACTATTTACAAACTATTACTTTAATTTGTAGTGATTTCCATATAAGCTATATAAACAAACTGTAGAGATATTTCTACTAACTAAATTGTAAAGAAATATGAATTACTGTCCCTAGGAATTAATTTCACAAACTCCGAGTCCTGTTTATATATATCAGAAATTCTCCCTATAACGAGCACTGCACATGCTGCTTAGATATGACATTACATGTATAATATTACATAAGATCACTTTGACAGACGCTTTTTAGAGTTAAATATAGAATCGGGACCCAAAAAAAAATTCAGACGAGAAAAAAAACTTGTCCATATGCACGAAACCAAACTTATGTTATATTTTGGCACGTAAACACCAGTATTACAGTTTTCCCATCTTTGTCTCAACATTTGGTTATGTACTCGAGAGGTTCTCATACGTTATTAACCCAAAATATGCAGACCCGTCTCACAGATGACCTAGTTCCGAAACGATTAGATCTTTGATAATTATGTACAATCTTTTAAAAATATGATGTCAAGGATACGGAACAAATTACGAGATATACTGATGTTTATTTAAATATATACATAATAATCTAGAATGTAATCAAAATTATGAGATATTTTGATGTTTATATATTATACATATTAACCTAGAGTGTATCATCACATGTACATTACTGTACAAAGAAGAAATCAAGGCTTGCTGTTTAATGACAACTCTGATCGATTTAATACCACAAAAAAAGTAAAATAAAAAACTGGGTTAAACTGGACAAATGCTGTTAAGAAGTACATGACTGTATATGTAAATCAAAATAAGATTGCATTGTAAATATTAAAGATTATGAGTTCAGGATCATAACTCATGAGGTATATATCTTCATAAAAATCTTGCATACATGATATTTGACATGATCGAGCTATCCGACACTTCGACTATGACATTGTTATTACGCTGCTATATAGATAAAGGGAGAAAACAAATACCTACACAACTCTCTGAAGATAAACTCGGTCTCAAAACGATTTCCTTTCTTTGATTAAATCCTTTCGTACAGTACACTTAAACAGTTCACCATCGCACACTCGGTCACTATTAGTAGCACATTTTATTTACAAATCGTACACAATAAATAACTCAGTTGTAAATCCAATTACTATGTATATAAGTATACAGTGCTGAAATATTAAAGAATGTCTACAAAATCTATATTTATCCACTTGATAATAGGTACACCCTGCTATACAAAAATCACCATTTCAGCCAGGTAAGCAAATTTTATAGGCTATTTTTATTTCAGGTTAAAAACCAAACAGCACAGTTGCAACAGCTGTATACAAAAATCTTTCCTTACCAAGTTTATGTTATATGTTTAAACAGTAAATATAAGCTCGGGCAAACCAAGATATCTAAAATATTGTATGGAAAACATGTATTAATTAACTAAAAACTCTACCTATTGTGTTATGACACTAATTCCATGTGTTTAGTTGATATATATAAATATAACCAATCATCTCCCATACAAAAACATGAACAAAAACGTTTTTACACACACACTACCATAGAGATCACTGATTTACAACTATTACTACTCTATGTATGAACAGGTCACAGCTCATAACAAGTGGGCCATAGGTCAGAGGTTAAGAAATAGCTGGTAGTTAACTTCCTGTATACGATTATTCCTCTTTGTTTGCGAACAAAGAACACTTAAGCTTCCATCATGCTATTTATATGGTAAAATCCAGACAATGCTGTTGTTGTTGTTTTTTTTCAAGACTGTTTTTCAGAAATCATTTGCATACTTTGGTTAATTCTTGAAACAAAGATATTGAACAGAAACTGATTTAAACAGCAGACGTGACTATAACCATGTAGTAAGGCATGTATTGGGAGGCGACTCAAGGGGAATTTATCAAAGCTGAACAGAAGGCTTTAAAAGGGGTCAAATAAGGTTAACTTGTAATGATTGAGGGAGTGAGAGTTATTTTCAACCAGCCTCAAAATAACTTAGGTTTAGGAGGACTAAAATAATTGTAAGGGTAGAACACTCCTATGTTTATCACACCAATAAGCATTATTTAATTTTTTATTTCTTTGAATCTTCTTTTAGACTGATAAAATTAATATCAATATTAATATTTTCATAATTCACAAAGAATGAACTTCATAAATACAAAGAACTTTCCCATTTATGAACTTTTATTTACTACATGTACCTTTGTGTGTAATTTATGAAATGGAAATTGATTTCTAGCTAAACAATGGCATCATATTTCTTTTGAAAATCTCAATTATAAACTAAAGTGAATTATCTATGCCAACAGTGTAAAGAAAGGCGAGCATGTGAGTTATATAGACACCATACTCTTGGTTGGTCAATTTCATAATTACATGTAGATCCTTATTTATACCAGCATGTACTGTCTAACACAGACACCTGGGGGTCAGATCCTGCCCCCCCCCCACCCAACGTGATACCCCCCTGTAAACACTTTATGAAAAATATTTTAATATTTAAACACAAATGGGACTTCTGCTACAACGATACAACTGCAATCTGCAAAAATTACCTTTTACCATCAAGTCCCATTTATCAAATAAACTGCGACGCAGGAGTGTAATAAAGCAATTTAATAAAAACAATATTACACTACTGTAATAACACTTTGATGTGACGTCATTTGCGCTATGTATAAACATAGCGTTACACTAAAATGCGTGTCAATGAAAACTGACTCTGTTTAATAGTTTACCATGGTTATTTTATACATATGATAAACAGAACAGAATGTTATAGTCGTGTAGATTCAATACTAAATTTATTGAACTTGTTAGTAAAGCAATATTATGCTAGCAAGAGGCTCGCATATGATTTTATTCCACTTGTTCAATAAATTTAGTATTAAACCTACACTCATATATCAATTGTCAGAGAAAAACTACGCCTTGCCTGAGAATCCAACCAGTGACCCCTGGATAAAAAATCCAAGTCTACCACTATTGAGCTAAGAAGACAGACAAGGAAAAGGACATAAGCCTGAAATGTGTCATGCCATTCTTAAAATATAACTGTTTGATCTGTCTGTTTATGAACTATGATATTTCAAGTACTTCAAATTAATATCATGCTCTCTATAAAATCAACAAATGACCTTTTGAAGTTATCGATCATAAACACAATATTTATCAAACAAGAGCCACCACAAAACGGGCCACACTCAACTTTTTCTTATTACTATCTTCATATTTAAAAAAAAAATTGAACTTGTCATTTTGTCATAAATGTTCTTCTATCCAAGTATAAACAAAATCTTTAAATAAATAACAGTTATGACATTTTTTTAGCAAATTTTGATGATTTGACCTTGACGGTCAAGCACTGAGAACACACTTATCCTCTGCTTTTGTTTTGTGTATGTTCAAAATAGTCGCTGTTGCTCAGAGTCCACATGGCAACTTGAGTCATTCCTAATTCAACCCTAAGGTGTCCATGTGTTCACTGCAACCTAGGCCACTCTTGGCCGCTCTGGTGTAACAGGTGTAATAAAGTAGGACAAAAGTCAATCCTGTTGTTTTTCTCATTAAACTGGGAATAGGCTTTAGCCTCTTGATTTTGGGAAAAATAATTGTTAAATTTGCTTATTTGGGAAATAAAGAAGCTGGTTTAAGTTAAAATCTTTGGGAGAACTGCATGATTTTAAAGAAAATTGTTGTTTTTCTATAAGTTGAAAAATCTCTGTGATCCCAATATCTTATATATCACCACGGTTCAGCATGAAATGGAATTTTTTTTAACTGCACCCAAGGAACATTTATATGAAATTTTGATGATACTGGCTGAGTGATTTGGCAAACCATTTTGTTGGCTAGCAGACAGAGTGTTTATACAGTGAATATGTGGGGTGTTCATAGCAGGGGCAGCAAAATCAATTTTCCATGTTGCCCAGGTTGTCCCATAGCCTGTACGGACAAGTGAAATCACCTTGAGCATAATTATGTGCTCTAGTGAACCAAAAAAAGAACTATAATTTGAAGATATACTTACAGTTGGTATGCATTGAAGTGGAAGTAAACAAATCCCATGCCATAAAGGAATGGACCATTCTGAAAAAATAAAGAAGATATCAATCATATTATACTAATAATAACTAGAACTGCCACTGCCATGGCGTGAATACCCCCGCATACCACTTTGTCAGAATCAACAGTGGCCATTTAGAGCTCAAGGACAACTTCCCTGCCAAATCTGAGGTTACTAAGCCAGTGCATTGCTAAGTTATGTATTCTACATGCTTCAAATGTGAAAATGTCAAAATCAATACACTGCGGACAGGCATTCTTAAGCAATTGAGGGGAAAAACTTATTTTTTTGTCAAGGTCCCTGTGACCTTTGACCCAGTGACCTCAAAATCAATAGGGGTCACCTTATGGTCATGATCAACCTCCATGCCAAATATGAAGACTGTGGGTCAAAGGAATCTTAAGTTAATGGGCGGACAAATTTTTTTAGTAAAAGCCCCTGTGACCTTGACCTTTTACCCAGTGACCTCAAAATCAATAGGGGTCATCTACTAATCATGACTAACCTCCATGCCAAATATGAAGACTGTGGGTCAAAGGAATCGTTAGTTATTGGGCGGACAAGCTTTTAAAAGTCAAGGCCCCTGTGACCTTGACCTTTGACCCGGTGACCTCAAAATCAATAGGGGTCATCTACAAATCACGACTAACCTCCATGCCAAATATGAAGACTGTGGGTCAAAGGAATCTTAAGTTATTGGGCGGACAAGAAAAAATCGACGGACAGCCGGACGGCCGGACAAGCTGATTCCAGTATACCCCCCTTACAACTTTGTTGTGCGGGGGTATAATAAAGTATAATTACGAATTTTCAAAAATAGAGTAAATTCTATTATATTGTTTCCTCTTCCTGAATTAAGCAGTCTATGAAATATTGGTACATTAGAAAAATGCTTCATAGTGACAGTTTCCTTATTACTATTGACCATTAGACTCAATATACAAGATCTATTTTCACAAAAAATATACACCCGGAGTCCTCACTCGAGGATCACACCAATAATCACTGGTTCATTTATCTGATTCATTCCCTATTGAGCTCAGTAGGCAGACAAAATAAAACTAGCAGTAACAAAAAGTGAACTTACTTTCCAATGGTCTTCTTGTAACTGGTAATACTTCTGGTAAGCTGAGAGTGCTGTAAACAAAAAATTTCATATTTATATTTATAATACTGCATAGTTCATTAGTTGTAACGATGATTTTCATTGGAAGACAAAAGTGATGTTTCTCTTATCTTTAAACCATGGTTGCTTCAAATTAAGATTTATTTTCAATTCTTATCAATTAGGTAGTACATTCTTTTTTGTTGTTGTTGGGTTTTAAGTAGCACCAACACAGTATAGGTCATTAACGACTGTCCAAATTTGATTGGTGGAGGAAGACCTCAGGTTCCCTTCCATGAATAATTTTAGATAGAGAATATATTATCAACTTGTCATAATGATTTTTGACAGGTTATATGGTCATTTTAATTGACTGTTATATTATTCTTGCCTAAATGATAATTGGATATTCGCCCTACCCCTTTCAATAATAAACTTTACTGTTTATAATATTCTCTCAAAAAGTCTTTTTTGGGGTTGGATTTTACATGGCATCAGATTTTATGTGGCACTCACAAGTAGATGTCATATGGTGACTATCCAGCTTTACTGGTGGAGGAAGACCTAAGGTGCCTGTCCGTGCATTATTTCAGGCACAAGGGGGAAATTGAGTAGAACAACCAACATTCCCTAAGCTAACTGGATAGCTTTCTCAGCTTTCTCTAGAATCCCAGGTCCCTAGCAGGATTGGAACCTTAAGCAGTGAGGGGTAAGTGGTTTGAAGTAATACTTTGCCAAGGACGCTCCTTAAAACTTTAAGTTTGGTTAATATTTATAACAATTAACCCATTCTATAAAGTTTGGTGGAAAGTGCTTCAGAAATGTAGAATCAGTTGGGCATAGATGGAAGAAATTTGTTTATGCCCAGTAACCCTCCAATATTCATCTTAAACTGGAGAATACTGTTAATAATAGACTTACTCCCAAATTAAAAATATTTTGGGTTTTCCCCAGCTTATCTAAAGTACAAACTTTTATAGTTACAGCTTCGAAAAATAAGTGCAACAGGTTGACTAATCTGTTGTGACAGCTAGTGAACTATGAGGCTAAAACGGTAAAGTTAGCTTGGTAAAAAAAACAACATTTGCAGAGTTCCAGATAACATTTACTTATTAGTATTACAAGAAATTATTCATTTTTGCTCCTACCTTTCTCATACTGTTCCAACAAGAGTAGAAGATGTCCTAGTCTGCAAAAGATTGCTGCATCAACTTTCGGTTTCTCATCGCTGTTGTCTTTCTTGGCCTTCCTTACAGCCGCTTTGATCACTGACTCATAAAACTGTACACCCTGCATTTCAATATACATAATTTGATAAGACACTTGTATAATTTTTTGGGTCTGATTTTAAGCCACACTGACGCTGTCAGGTCATTCAACAACTTTCAAGCCTCACTATTCAAGGCTATTTTTTCCTTCTATAGCAGGGGCTGTTTAAGGGTGGCTACCGCAAATAAAAGTTCTTTAAAATCATGCAGTTTTCCCCAAATAGAATTTTCATCAATTTTTTTTCTTCCTCTTTTACAAATATACTGTTTAATTTTCCCAAAAAGTTAAGGGCAGGGCTGCTTCCTGAACCTGTGAAAAAAAAGCCCCACTATTGAAGGAAAGCCTCAGGTGCTCCTATGTGCATTATTTTAAACACAAGCAGGTAAACATACATATGTATGTACCTCAGTGGAACCACAGACCTTGCATTTGCTAGCTCCGTAACTTCCTCGTGAAAAAATCCAAAGTCCCTGTCAGGATTCAAACCCACAGCAGTGAGGGGGAAGCAGATGGAAGCCGACAACCAGAACCATTTAACCACAGAGCCTCCCCCAACATATAATTGTACAGTTGTGAACTAAATATACATGTACAATTAACACAGCATTGATAAAACAAAAATAATTTACAATTCTGAACATACATTTATCCATTAAATTACAAAGGTACAAATGTATTTAATAATTTATTGTATAAAAATTTATAAAGTACATGTAGGTACACCAAGATTCCTTGCAAAAAAGGATGAAAAACTAAACTGTCAAATAAAGCTTTTTTGCAGCATCTTCAAATAATAAACTAGTTCTAACCTTTTCCAACAAACTTTTGGTGGCTGCCTCCTCAGGCTTATCTAATTTTAAGAATCCAAATGAGCAACTGAAAGAAAAATATCAAGGATATAGATCAAGGTTATATATCTACATGAAATTAAACATTTTAAAGTAAAATTTAATGCAGTATTGTCCAAATATAAATAGCGTAAAATTCCTAATAAACGCCTCTCCCCTAATAAAGGCCCCCAGGCCTTTTGATAAGAAAAACAATCTAGTCATCAGTGCTGAACTCATGAGTAAATCCATAATTTCAATCAAATCATTCAGAATCCATTTAATTTTAAAGTATGAACTTTAAAATATTAACACTTTTTAATGTTATTATCAACACTTGCTAACACTAAATGTATTTACAATGATTTTTGGATTTAGGAAAAAACTGTGTTGTAATAATAGCCCCCGTTTTGGAAAATGTTTAGCCCCTGGGGGCGTTTAATAGGAATTTTACGGTACATGTACTAAATACGTGAATATAAACATGTAGTTACAAAAAGGCAATTTAAACAAAATTCAATAATTTTACCCTGTCAATGTCATTCAAATGTCGAAGTCAAACTTCAATTATCTAACATATCAGATTTATTCTAAGTGTTGTTTGCCCCAGCGTGACTCGGTATGAGTAAAATTCATAAATTAAAAAATTAAATACAGTATGTAAAAAAATTATCATAATAAAACAACTGAAGTCCAAGTATAAATAACTAAATTAAATATGTGAGTAAAATTTGATAACAAATTTTATCAATATTCAATAGCTAAACCTTACATGTCAAGATCATTGACCTTAAATCTCAAGATCACTGACCTTAAAATTAATGTCAAGGTCAAATAAAGGTCAAGGTCAATGACAGCATCTGTATGATTATGATTGATCTTCAGAAATGCAGGGAATTAATAGTCAGAATTTTCACGAAGTTTTGGTTCTTCTGAAGGGTCTAAAATCATACCAATTTTTAAAAAAAAAAAGGTTTAAAGGCCAATTATGCACCAGAAATGCTTTATTTTAATTTTCAAAAGCTTTTTCACTTTAATTTCCTGTTGTATTTTTCAAACAGGTTACTCAGTGGCCAACGTAACAAGCATCTAACATACTCTAAAACCATTTTTTGAATGTTATAAAACTAATGTTTGCCTTTTCTGAAGAATGAAAAATGTATTGACGATCACTGGAGTGGGTAGAATAGCTGTCCCTATTCTTCTATTCACCAGTCAAGATAAGCATTTTAAGTCAGGGGTCACACTTGCCATGGAATCTTGAAGGTCATTTTGATCAGTATGGAATCAGTTTTACCAATTACAAATCCAAATCCCTAGGACTTTAACAAAATTTATCCCTCCAGTTAAAATCCTGAGGGTCAGAACAAGCCATTAGGAAATTTGGAAGGTCAAAGAGTCATTTCAATGGTCAAACTCTTAAGTCTATGTCTAGTATTGTAGACAACTTTAATAATAACTTATTTTTGTGTGTATTTGAGTTTATTTACACTCGCCTCCAGTTGCCCATATGGGCGAGTTCTCCAGAAGAGCATTAGCCATTTTAGATTTCGGAGGAAAGTGCAAGATACAGATAGATGCCCCAATTACAGAAGCTTCTCCTGGTTCTCTAGCTTGCCAAGAATTAAAGCACTCATACACGGCACCTCAATTTAAAGTCTCATCCGAAAGACTGATAAGTTATTTTAGTTGGCCAGTCTGGGAATCGACCCAATGTTGAGATTACAAGTCTCACTCTCTAACCTATTGAGCTATGCTGGCTGGCTTAATAACTTATACATGTTGGACATAATTATAATAATATCCTCAATTAACATAAAGACAGTGTTCTCAATTACATTGATGACTTATTAACTGCTTTCACTCACAGTGTAGGCTGGACCATAAAACATATATATAAATGCAAGATTGCTTTCACTTTTAAAAATTATTTCTTTACATTCCCTCTGGTGTATTTGTTTTTTCAACAGTTAAATATTAATCTATTTTTTAACAATACACATACATTTCTCTAAGTTTTAATATGGCCCCTTCACAACTGTGTTGCCTCATTAAACAAAGTTGTTACTTTACTTTGCTTTGCTTTGCTTTGCTTTGCTTTACTTTACTTTACTTTACTTTCTTACTTACTTAATTCTGATTTTGCTGCTGATGCAAATATGTTCATTTTTTTTCACTTCTGAATTTGCTGCTGATGCAAAAATGCTAATTTTTTTTTATTAATATCAAACTATCTAGCTTGATATATGTTTTATAATTATTGTTTAATATTTTTTCAAAATTGAACACTTTTTTTTATATATTTTTCAAGTAACTTTATTTTCTTCACTTATTAAGTCAATAGGTAAGGTTAGATATATTTAAGTATATCACAAAATCTAAAGATAAATTAATTCAAAAGAAAAATACAAACACTTTTGAAAATTTTGCTATTTTTATAATATAAATGTTACAATAATTGATTTGAAATTAAAAACAAATAATATTCAACAAATGAATTTTCAAAAATTGTCATTTAAATGTATTGTCAAAATTAAAATTCTTTTAAAAATGAATATTATTGTCAGCTATCAATTTAATATATAAATTGTAATATTATTATAAATGAGATTAAGTATGACTTCACACATGATGTTACAGAATGCACGGTGACACTGATTGTATTAGAGTGATAACCGAGATAACTCAGGATTTATAATCCAAATTCCAATCAGTTGACCAATCAAGCTATAACAACATAGACCATATCGCACATTATTTTACAGATTAATCAGGCATAATCCCTTTAAATATTCCTTTAAAGTACCATATATATGAACAATGGTAGCCAAAAGACCATCCATGCAGTGCAAAAATGTCTAAGAGATTGAAAGTCCAAAGCTGATAACATCCACTTGTCCAGGAAGCAAAATATCCTGTCACCAATAGATAAGGTGATAAGTTTGTTTTTTTCCATGAAAATTGCATGGAGCTAAATTATCACCACCTTTAGTCTAACTTGAACTAATTTTGCTATTCCATGAGATATTGTGATATTTTGTGGCAATAGAAGCGAGATTATGACCCAGAACAAAAACATCTCAGAATCTAGCTTTGGCATGTCAATATATCTTGACTTCACCACCTCGTGCTTCAAAATTGGGAAAAGAGTTAACTCGGCCCTATACCAACTCGGCACGGGTCAACTCGGCACGGGTCAACTCGGCCCACTTTACAAAAATATATATTACGTATTAACTTTGCTTTGCATGCTGGTAAGGTAAATGAATAATAAGAAATATCTTATTATTATATAGTTATACATTGTACTTCTGCCGAAATAAAGTATATTTAGAAAAAAATTGTTATTTATTTGTCTTATATTTATAAACTCTCTCTGTTGAACTACGTAAATAACAATCTCCTACGCAGTAATCTCCCATTATCAATTACAATTCTGCCAAGGGAGGTAATCACTGTGCGGAGTTTGCGTAAATAACCGAGGTATATTGAGAGAAAAAACAAGACTTGTTTCCCTTAGTTTCCCTGAATGCAAATTTAGCCGTGTTTAAATCTCTAGTTTGGGGTGTTTAAATCTCTAGTTTGGGGCGATTAAATGTCAGATTTTAAAATTTGTTACACCAATTAAAAGCTGGTGATCTTAGCTTCCTCTCAGTATATATTTCAACACATTGTTTGACACTGAAGGTATTTAAATTTACGGTTAAACCTACCACGAGTCAGAAATACAGTGAGATACGCAATTGGTTATCTTTACTCGCAATTCTACTGATAAGAAAAGCCTGTCTGCTGCTAGTTCTGAAACTTTTATGTGAAAAAACCGTGTTTTATAAATAATTACAATAATAACAATAAAAAGTGATAACACAAACCTAAATATTGATAATTAAAAAATGGGCCGAGTTGACCCGTGCCGAGTTGGAATAGGGTCGAGCTGACTCGGGGCCGATCAAGTACGTTTTAGGGCCGAGCTGACCCGGATAATGGCCAGATTCTCAAAATTGACATGTCCTGTGTCTTTTCTATAATTCAAAAAACCGGGGATTTTATCGAAAAGTGAGAATTTATTACATTTGTTGATCTTTTTCCTTCTATCTTTATGTAAAACTGCCCCCGCTACTGAAAACATAGGGGGAATTCTTAAAAATATGAGTGAATCCCCTCATCCCCCTCCTAGAATAGACACTGCATCCTCGGATGGACTCTCATTAAACATGGACTATATGCACACAGTGCTCTTTCTTGATGTCACCTGACATTATCTGTACATCTCTCTTTGCAGTTAATCTCTTTTAAATGTGTCATAGACAAGTCAATGCACCAGGATGTTAATATGATTTCATATAAGAGACAAGCCCATTAAATAATAGTGTATTTTTGCTGTTTATGCCGTCAAAAACATTATCAGTGTAAATAAATAAATATGAATGTTTTATATAGAATATAGTATATCTAATGTAGCAGGAGTGCGAGCAGTCGCGTTCAATGAAAATAAACAAAAATTATTGAAACCCATGCATGTGAAACCGGTAAAATTCATTATGCTTACCTGTCATATTTTGTCAATTCTTGATGTTCCTCCTGGGTTAATTCCACAGTTTCCTTATCCAGTGCCATGTTAAGTGTAATAATTTAAATGGAAGATGGCCCTTGTGTGTCTATTTAAAGAAATTTTATTAAAACTTTATTGTGGCTTTATGTGCTAATTAACTCTTTTCGACTAATCCTCTGCTGAATATATTTATTTTTATATCGCTATCGTCTCAATCGAACCCTACCTACGTATATAGTGTCCGTTGGTAATATAAGTGTTACCATAGAGATCTCTGTTGTTATGAGATTTTTTTTCTTGAAGAACATTGTCTGGACTTTTAATTTTATATAGTTCAAGAAATAAAAAGAGTTAAAATTGTATAGATCTATTGACGCACCTGTAAAATATACAAGTTCGTTGACCTTTACGAGAACTGTACACATAATACTTTAAATAATTATATACATGTAGCTCTGTGATTTTACATGCTGGTTCCAATTGATCATTATAATCAATTAAAATCATGTTAAAACTGATCAATGCAACAGTGTTATAACCTAGTCTAATGCAGTGCACTTTCTATATAGTGCGGGATCGAGATTCTGGCAGTGGTCCAAATGCGGACGATTTGGCTTCACTAATGGACTGAACCCGCTTTTCCTGGGTGTGGGTGGTTGGTAGCACAAGGGTTATGACTGATTGGTACATCATGTTGATTCTGTTGGACAATGAACACGTAAATTTCTTGTGCTAAAGGAGGTAAACTTACATAATTGTGTTTTAGGGCTAGCCCAACTATGATGTGTGATTCTGACCCAGTACAAAAATATCTCAAAATCTAGCTTTGGCACGACAAAATATTTTGACTAGTTTTATATAGGGCCTACTGAGGTTAATAATAATGAGCAATCCTAAGCAAAATAAAACAATGTATTTAAAGAGTTAATTAGTAAGAAATCAAGAAAGAAAATAAAGAAACAACGCATTTATAAATATTAATTAAAACTGGTAAGCAAACGTGCACGATTTGTCACAGTGACATAATTTTGAAAATTTAATATTTAAATTACACGCCTTCAGATGAGATTCTTTTTTTAAATTAAACTTATGACCATTCATACTATGACTTTAGTATAAGAAATCATGGTTGTTACTTTATATTATATGTTTAATGTACATTCTTGAAGAAATGTATAATTTTTTCACAGCTGTTTTGAGAAAAGGGCAAAGTGCATGTATAAATATGTAGCATTTTCAGGCATATTAGAAAGTTTGAAGAAAAAAAACTACCTTAAAAAAGACGTTTTAGTTTTATTTATGTGTATGAGCATACAAATTGTTACCTCTTTTAAAAATCAGTTTTTAACAAGAAAATGAAAAGTTGCGATATTGTGTATGAAAATTGGAGGAGGGGTTATTTTGGATTGGGAATGGGACCTTATACCGACCATAATGATAGGATGAAAACGCCATGTACTTTTTGATGCAAAACCTGGCGGATTTTTATAGTTTCAGATACCGCTAGATATTCCGTTAATATTGTAGGAAGGGTTCTTTAACAACATGTTTTGACATGATAAAATAATTTCTGTGAATTCAAAATAATCAGGCTAAGGTAAATGATATTCGGTGTTCATTTGATAACACATTAGAATTTAGAACAATTTCTAATTTTTCATAGGAATTAACATGAATATGCATGAACTGGTGATGCGCTACTATAAACTATGATGCAGTATTTAATTAGCATTTCAATTCATAAGTTATTCTTATTATTGTACACCGGTAATTTAATACTGTCAATGAAAATAAAATATTTCTCTGTTGTTTGTTTGTTTGTTTGTTTGTTTAATTAGTTTTTGTTGTTGTTATTTTTAACTTGCATATTTGTAGTTCCTTTTTTGTTGCTGTTGTTTTCTATTGCTTTTGTTCTGATGTGGAATCATTTCAAATAGAGTTTTTTGCGTTTGTTTTTATGTTGTTGTTTTTTTAACAATAGTTACTATGTATATTACGTTTCCTAACTTTATAACAATACTTATTAATCTTTCTTCATATAAAACAACTGCATCTGTGAACAGGTGAAATCGAATCATGGTGATATCTAAATAATTTGTGAGTTGAATCTGGTCCGAAGTGTCATTATCGTTAATAACAATATTAATGTAATTTTTTAGGCAAGTGCGTAGTATGGATCTAAACATAATTACATTTTGTAGTTACATGTATATGCCATATCTCGCTACGTTAAAGGCCCATTATGCTACAGAAATGCGTTCATTTTTGTTTTTTTTCAAAAAACTTTTTTTATAATTTTATTTAATTCATTGATACAAAAAGGTACTCATTGGCCTATTGCCTGACCAAATTTTTGCTTGTTTCGCTTTTTTGAAATCAGTGCAATTATTGTGATTTACTATTTTGACTTCAATGCGAAATACTACTACATTTTGCTTTGTTTATGACGAATAATTTCACATTAATCACCACTTTCTTCAAGTGATAAGCCTCTAACATGCTTTAAAATCATTATTTATACCCCTTAAAACTCGTGTTTGCCCTTTCAAAAGAAGAAAAAAGTTAATCGGCATAATGTGCCTTTAAAAATATTGAGCAAAGAATAACCACAATAATTACCACGTTTTTTTTTTGTTTTGTTTTTTGTAATTCAAGCTTTCTTGATGACTTTATTTTTTTTTCGAAATTTGATGAGCACTCTTAATAATATTTTACAGAATCCTATTTTGCTAAGCATTTTTGATTATAAGAGAATATTTACCTGTTTATGTAAGTTGACCGGGATATTATATTAGACCATTTATAGATGTGATAATACTTTACAATCATAACCTTACCTACGTCACCAAAAAGAAAACTGCCATGTTCTCGTATCTTGCTAATTAAATACACTCGTGTTCTGCACAAAATATTTTTTAAGTATAGAAAAAGAAATCAAAGCACGTTTGTCTGTGTATGTTAATTGATTTACTTTTGAAACGTACATGTTATGTAAGTGTCTTAAATGATTATAGGAAATGATTATTTTAGGTGCAGTAAATGCATATATAATGAATGTCAGTCAGCTTGCGCGTGATTCAATAAAGATTTCTTTTTTTGAAGAATACCTGTACATATATGGACTTTTCCACATTTTTGGTGTACTGGCGTTGCTATTTTAGGATAACTATCCGTCCCACTTCCTTACTGGACACAATTTTTGCGTTTAAATATGTTTTTTGTGACTGCGTAGTTGAATTTTGAGCTGAGTGAGTTCCTTGACCTCCGCCTTTGGTTCAGGTACTTCATTCATGTAACTTGTCTTATAAATACATCGTGTGACTTCAAAACATTTGCCCCTCGACGCTGAAAGTTAGAATCCCACCAGGGACTTAGAACTCTTTCAGCAAGCATATGGATTGTCGATAGTTCTACTCAGGAGATAATGCGGTGTACCTCCACCAGCTGCAAAGTTGCCATTTGACCTCTTCTGTGTTGGTGCGACGTAAAACCCGACCGACCGACCAACCAACCAACCAAAAAGCAAAAACAAAACAAACAAAGTTGTCTTATCAAATATGATATATGATATTCACATATTCAAAAAATACCGAACCAAAACAATCAGATTTTTCACAATGTTGCAGGCATGGATACACTGGGGTGGGGAGGGGGCTTAAGGGGCTGGAGCCCATGTCCCTAGACGCCCAGATATGTTGCTGGTTTTTTATCAGAAAATTAACATTATACTAGAGTGTAAGTCGAAGCTGTCATAAATGAATGATGGAAACCAAATACATTTTATATAACTGATCAACTTCCTGTCAAACACTGAATTACTGGGAGCAATTTTAGAAACATGTGGTAGAAATGAAAGTACTGTTTTGTCAATGATTGCCAACATGAACTTCCCTCTTACATACAGCCATTGCAAGGGCTCACATCTTAGATTTCTATGCATATGATCTCATATTAGGTATTTATATGTATTCACTTGTGAGCAATATGTAGGGTTTTTTTTATATACTTTTGAGATAGTGATGTGAAAAGTTTTAGCTGATAAGCGTTTCACAATAAACTCTATAAAATACATTATACAGCGCTATTCATACCAATACAAAGTAAACGTTCCGGAGAATTAACAGTGTTCAACACTTGTGCATATCTGAAAGATTCTCGGAAAATGTAGAAGCATATATTTTATGATATGCACCCTTAAATTCATGAGAATCTACCACATTTAATATGCAGACATTTTAAGATAAAGATTTAACTTGTAGATCTATGTATTTCAGTTTGAAAAAAAAATCTAGGAAAATGTAGTGAAGTGTACCTAAAAATGCAATACTTGAAACCACCATTTAACACTAAGATTCATTTTTCCTTGGGGAAAACCCCGGATCCTTATAAAGGAGAGGTCGTGTTAATACTTAAGAACATTAAACCAAAGAATCTGGATCTGTGTCCAGGGCATGTAGCATTGCCATCTACAATAAGTTATATAAATTTTCGATTGGTGCAAAAATGGCCCCGCCCTAGGATTACTTAGTGACATTATATGAAGGTCTAGGAGAAAGCACAATTGTTATGATCGTCCATGTTTGTGGCTGAATGAGTTTAATGTCAGGAAACTCAACCATTGAGGATCGTATATGGACACTATATCCATTTCATGCAAGTTTTACCGAACCTGTGGCCCTTTTTTTCATACATTTCTTACATGCAATATCATATTGCATGAATAACTAGATAAAACATCTTTTAGGCAAAATGCGACCAGTAGCTTTGACAGTAAGAAACTATTTAAAAATAAAATTTTGCGAAAGTGGAAACTTTTCGAGAATTCATAAGCTCCTTTCGGGTAATTAACTTATGCCAATCGAACAAACCTGTAATGGCGCGCTTTTGGCTTTTGTCAACATTGTCAAAATTGCAAAGCTTCATATGGACTTTAGGAATGTAGAAGGAGATTGTTTTACCCTAAAACTTAACATTCTTACTAAAATACGTTAATTTCTAAAATATTACAATGGATGATTCGGTGGAAAGCTCCAATAAAGGGTAAAAATATGAGGGATTTTCCAAAGATGTAAAATCTGTCAAATTCGTACCTTTGTTATCTCGTACTTTACCTGTTTACTTTATATTGAGTGAACAGAATCTGCAGAATTGCTGTTTTGCACCAGATTCTCATGGTTATGAGAAAAAGAAATATTACACAGGGCGCATGTATCGACAAAGATCATTAAATATAAATGTGATTTTGATCAGAGACTGAGAGATATAATAATTTGTTCTCTTTTTGTTGCATCTACCACATCTGTACGTTAAACTGTCGAAACTTGACATTTCTTTAACAGTGTGCAAGAAAAAAGGCAAAAGAAATATCAAATAGGATAGAAAGAATAAAGACATGGATACAGTTTTTATGTTTACCGACGGGTAAGCATGAAGTCGCTGCTTTGTTTGTCCATCTGCTATTTTTGTCTGGGACATTACTATGTAACCAGGTAATAACAAAAGGTATCAACATGAAACTTTAGAGGTAGATAGATCTCATTGAGTAGAAGTGCAGTGCAAAAGAACCATAACTCTGTCTTGCCTAATTTTTGAGTTATTGCCTTTTGTTCATTTTTACACTTTGAACCTTGTCCGAGACGTAACTCTAAAACCAGGGTTTTACATCTCTTTGAAATTTTAGGGGTCCAGTGGATGCACAGCCTAGAAAAGTAGGGGTCCAGGCCTGAATTTTAGGGGTCCAAAATTATTTTCACTATAAAAGACTATGAAGACCACTCTATTTTGCTTAAAATCATTTATTTACCCTGTAAGAGATATGCATGTATATTGTACTGTTTTCATAAGAAGTATATGATTTCAATATCTTTTATCACTAGGTTTTTTTTTATAGCCCTTTAGTAGCCCTTTACAATAATATCATGTGCTATTTCCAAGGCTTATAAGTCTTTGAGTGGCTGGAATGTCAAGTTTTAGTAGCATATTTTGTTTTTGATAAGGTGATTACACCAACAGACTGAAAATTTGTACTGATCTATTTGTAAATATTTTAGCTGAACTAGTAAACACACAATATATTTTTAGCTGAACTAGTAAACACACAATATATAACTTTTACAGACCAGTCAGCTAAATATGTTGCGTTTTTAAAAATATCATATAACAAAAGGATGACGAAACCGCTTTTGCACCTCCTCATAAGTTGGGACATACTTGATGTCCCAGTCAAAAGTTAAGTTCGCCGAAACCATTATATTTATAACACCAACGATAATAACATACCCAGCGACTTAATTTCTATAACACTATGAAAATAAGTTTGCAAAAAGCACTGCCTTTTTTATTATCGCCGTTCATGTACAAATTACATTCGCATCGACATTGGATACGCTAACCAATAGTAATTGCTTGTTATAAATAGTCCGTCTAAATATAGCAACAGAAAAACCAAAAACAGCTACCTAAAATAGATTTTACGGTAAACGTCATCAGTTACTGTAGCTTGCACGATAAACGTCATCAGTTTCTGCAACGGGCACTTGCAAATAGCATGCGCAGTAGATTTCAATTATGTTAACTTCCGAAATAAACAATGCAAGCATTTTCTGCTTACTGTATTAGATTTAAATGGAATTTTGTGAGCCTCGAGAAGAAAGAGATAAAATCATGTCGGGCCAGAAACAATAATATCTATTGTCTAGGATTATTTTTGTGCGTACATTTGGACGCAAGTGGATAACTTATATGCGTACATGTCAAAATTTATGCGTATAGGGACGCAGAATTCTGCGTCCCGTAAAACCCTGTAAAACTATAAGAGATATCAACATGCAACTTTGTAGGTAGATAGATCTCATTGAGTAGAAGTGCAATACAATAGAACCATAACTCTGTCTTGCCTATTTTTTGAGTTATTCAACTTATTGTCCTTTGTCCATTTTTACACTGAACTTTGTCTGGGACATAAACACTGCAAGAGGTATACTGTCCTGTGTCCAAAACCTATTTGGGGAGCATCACCTGGTTTTAACCAGTTCTTGTTCCTAGATAAAAGTTAAAAAGAAATTAAGTAGCAGAAAATGCAGTTACTATTCAGCCATTTAGTTGAGACCAATCCAGCTTCCGAGGTGGTGTCCAGGTTCGAGACCCTGCTGGCATAGCTCAAGCCCTTCAATTGGCAGTTCTTCATAACTGTGCATGTGCATGAATACTGAAAGTACAATGAATGGGATGAAGGCTTCACTTTATTTTAAAAGCCTGATCTTGTTGAAAGTGCAAAAACTATTTATTTATGGATCTAAAACATTGTAAATTATAATTTATAGTTTTTATTAATTAATAACTACATTTTCCATTGTGTTGCAGGTCAACAGCAGAAGAAGAGTTTGAAAGATTAAGCAAAGTTTTGAGTGTCTCGGCCGAGGTGAAGACGAAGGCATGGGATGTATGGCAAGAGTTTGTTTCTAATACAGATCAGTCAAACTTGAGGAATGGAATCACTGATTGGTTAATGTTGGCAATATACACAGCAGTGATTGATTTAAGGTTTGTATTTAAATCGTACATACATTAAGACTTCCAGTATATTTTTTCCCCCTGTTTTTGTGATGACTCGTGCCTTTTATTAATTGGGAACTTCAAAAATTTCCACTGGTCCTCTTGTTATTACAAGTAGAATTTAAGAGAACTTGATAATGGACAAGTAGAAAAATGTTGCCTGCACAATACACATTGGATGTAAAAGCTTATCATCCTGATGGACGAGTGACTCTGAAAATATTTTTCGATACCTGGGGAAGTACTTGTGTGCTAACTATAAAAAAGAAGATTTAACAGACTTAATAAAGTCACTTCTTAAAGATGATAGAAACACATATATAAAATGCAGAAAAGTGACCTTATTTATGCCTTAATTTTAAGCTGGTTTTTCTAAGTGTTCAGTATAGTTCTGTGTGAATTTTCAATATCAAATTGAGAGTTTTCAACAAAAGGCCTCTAACAGCCACTATTCAATACCCATATATCAATGCCAGTAGGTGCATACTGTTAATAGTTTATTAATATGATATTTCAGTGTATCAACAAAGGAAGAAGTTGTTATATATTCGAGGAAACCAGACGGTAGTGTAGATGATTGTATTGCATATCCTAGCCTTACACTGACAAGTATCTTACAGCAATGTGGCAGCAAGTATGTTATATACTATGACTTGCTTACTATATATTGCAGTATTCATCTATTTGTTTGTAGATACAAAGTTGTGTCATGACATCATTTTAGTGTTGAACTTTAGCTAAAAGAATTATTTTCAAAGTTTTTTGAGTCTGACATTTGCTTACTTCACATTACTATTATCAAATATTGCACATAAATTATTCAATTACAAGTTTCTTATACCAATTATTGCACATAAGTATTTCCATCACAAAATTTATCACACATGTATTATAATCATAATTATGACAAATATGAACAGAACAGAACAGAACAGATACTTTATTAAGATTTGTACATAGTACATCATCTATAATACAATATTTTTACAAGCATAACGTCAATATAATGGTAATTGCAATCATGATTCAAAATTCTTTATCTTAATTTATCTAGTAACAAGAAAATTAAATGATAAATATGTATACTACGAACTAAAAAAGCAAAGACATACGAAAAGGAGAATGAGCTATCATGATGTTTAACGCTCAACATTTAACAGTGTGTTTTCTCAAAGCAAGTGCTTCTTTAACAAATTTTGATAACTGAATTAATTCATATTTATTATTTGAATTCATTAATTGTAAAAATTTATAAACTGACGGGGTTTCTGGTATATTTAATTTTCAAATATTTTTTTTCTTAACTCTGAATAACACAACGACATATACAAACAAAATGAAATTCATCTTCAATGTCTGAGGTATTACAGCATAAACAATATCTTTCTTCTCTAACAATTCTATTTCTAGAATATCTGCCAGTTTGTATTCTCAAAGACAAAGTACTCATTCTTAATCTACAGAAATAAAATCTTAAACATCTTGGCAAGATATCCAAATAAAAGTTCATACTCAAAACTACATTTAACATTTTTTGTACATATACAATACAGAACTATTATCTAAAGTAGCATACCATTCCTGTTTAAAAGAATCAATAACACGACTTCTAAATTCAAATAAAAATATTTTTTTGTCAATAATATTAACATTATCAAATACATATGAAAATCCATAATCATTCAAAAGCTTCTTTACATTCGAAACCCAATTTTTATGACCATTGTTGCTATCATCTAGAGCTTGATTATATACTGTCTTAAGGATTATGTTATCAGTTTCTACAATTTTTAACCAGTATTTTATTATCCTTACAAACCTATGAATATATAAGGGATATCTTCCCAGTTCGCCATATACACTAGCATTACAAGTGTTAGGTTGAACTCTTATAACCTTTTACAAAATTTTAAATGTATTCTTTCTAGCTCTTTAGACTTAGTATATCCCCAGATTTCACATGAATAATTTAATATCGATGAAACAAATGAGTCAAATAACTGACATAATGTTCTGGGAGAAAGGTCAAATTTTTTCAACTTACAAAGAAGAACATTCATTGCCTTTAAAGCTTTACCACTCAAATATTCCTGATTTAATGTAAAATTGCCCGTATAATTAAAAACTGTCCCAAGATAATTAAAATCATTAACTACTTCAATATTTTGGCCATTATAGTTCCACTGCTCAGTTGGTAAAATACGACCTCTTTTTCTAAATACCATTATTTTTAGTTTTTGTTGTATTTACTTTAAGGCCACAGTTGTTACAATATAAATACAAAAGATCTAAAAGTTCCTGTATTTCCTCAGGCTTTTGCCTATAATTGCCATATCATCTGCAAAAAGTAAAAGAATTAAAACAATATCATCTAATATTAAACCTGAGTCGGGATTGTTTTGAAGATACAATTCAATGTCTTCTACAAAAATTGAAAATAGTAGAGGTGACATTACCTCCCCTTGACGGAGACCAACAGCATATTGGAAATATTCAGAATAAGTTGAACAAAGTTTGACACAAGACTTAATTTTCTGGTACATATCACGAACAATTCTTAATAATTTACCCTGTATTCCAAAATTATACATTTTTAACCATAAACCATTTCTATCAATAGAATCAAAACACTTCATCATATCAACAAATATAACATATAATCTTTTATTTTCATTCAAATATTTTTCAACTAATGACATAAGTACAAATATAGCATCTACAGTAGACCTTCCTTTACGGAATCCGAATTGAGCATCAGAAATAGTGTTATGTTCGTTACAAATTTCTCAATTCGATTATTAATAACAGTAGTAAACAATTTTGACATACAACTAACAAGAGTAATACCTCTGTAATTATTTACGTCATCGTGACAACCTTTTTTGTGTAAAGGGATTATAATACCCTCTGTCCATTTATCGGGGAAATAACCCGAATCTAAAATACCATTAAATAAATCACAGATATGAGCTGATAAAATATCTATACTTTCAATAAAATACTCGTTTAATAAGCAGTCGCTACCATACGCTTTGTTACGCTTTAGTGATTTTACAGCAGTTAAAATTTCACAAACTGTAATTGGCTGGTCTAATTCTGGAAAAATATCATTTGACTTCATATAATCATTATTATTACAAAACTGATTAGCCTCCTCATTGCAAACAAGCAAATAAGTCGTTACTTATATTAGAAAAATACTCTTTAAATTTTCTATCGTTATATTTTTTCCAAAATTGTTCGATTTCTTTTTAAAATATTTCCAAAAATCTCTAGGTTTACCTTTCTTTAAATTTTCTATCTCAGACATTTTCTTTCTGTAATGTAAGCTTTTCTTTTTTCTAACAATATTTTTATAAAATGACTTATTTTCACACAACCTTATTCTAAAATAAGCTGTCTTTGAGATATTAAACATCCTTAAAGATTCTAAATACTTATTACGTGCATTCCTACATTCTATATCAACCAATCAGCGTGTTTAATACAACTTTCTTCTTCAAAACAATGAACATTTTTAAACTGACATGTTTTGAAAATAATGGGTCACTAACATTTCTTAATACATCTGTAAAACTATTAAGTGCATTATTGACAGATTGTCGACTGTTATTGTCTAAATCATTAACAATATTATTAAATAGAGGTAAATTAGCAATGACTCCTGATCTAAACTGTTGTTTATATACATCATTCCATTTGTATTTCATTTCTGTAAATATAATATCTTTATCAGGTGTATTGTTGCATGATATTTTCAATTGTAAGGGGGCATGATCACTCCATTCATTGAATGACAATATACTAAAATTATTGATCAGTGAAAAATTGCGTTCGTTACATAATAAATAGTCTATAACAGATGCCCCGTTATGCGAAATAAAAGTATGATGATTAGTGTCCCCGATACAACCGTTAACTATTCGTGAACATGATGATTTACAAAGAATCTAATAATCTTATACCATGGCTGTTATGTTTACAGTCTATTGAGGCCCTGCATGAACTATTATCGGGGTCATAATCTATATCATCAAAAACATTATTCAAAGTATCATGTATAATAAAATCATGTTTATTTCCTACTCTACTATTGAAATCTCCTAGAATGTACACAGCCCCTAAATTGTCGTATAAAAATATATCATTTTCTAATAAATCAAACAAATCAACATTTAAAGTATTGTACGCAGGTGAGTCTGCACCCCATATATATACACCACACACATAAATATCTTCTTTAGTATTGAAAAATTACGATCAAGTTTAAGCCAAATGATTGTATCATGGTGATTTTTAATTACTTGTATACCTTCTTTAAATGCTCTTTAAAATACAAAATAACCCCACCACTGCATCTTCGCGCACCCCTATTTTGAAATTTTCTATAAAAATTGAATGAAATATACCCATTTAAAGAAATATTACTACTAGAATTTGTCCAAGATTCATACAAAAAACATATATCGTGACTTGAAATGATTATTTACAAAGTCTTTATGAGTCTTTTTTTGTCAGATGTTAATCCATGCACGTTCCATGACAAGATAGCTAGCTCACCTCCGGCGCATCCCTACTCCCGGACAGGCTTACCGTCGATGAACAGCGTATCATATGCAATCCATGACCTTTTCCCATTCTCTCTGTCGGCCTTCATTCTTGGCACTAGTCTCCTACGCTTTTCAATCACTTCCTGTGGAAATTGCTCGTACATTTTATAAGGTGTGTCATTCAAATGTTTCCACTGTCTTCTAATTAACTCGCGGTCTTTGAAAAAATGTAAATTTTGGCAACAATAGTCCGGGTTTTCCCAGGTATGGCTGACCTGGTGATCTGTGAACACGCTCGAGGCGGATATTGTCAGCTGTCTCCTTGGCAACCTTCAAGCTTCCATGAGGTGTTTCCGTAGTTTACGTTCGGGTCACTTCCGTTGGCTCATTGCCGCTAGAGTTGTTCTTCCGGTACATTGGTGAAGATAAGATTGTTCCTCATTGACTGAGATTTGAGATAAGACACCTCCTCTCTAATACTGTCCCGAACCTTTTCAAGCTCATCTACTTTACCGGCTAATATGGCTGAACTTATGTCTGTGCTGTCAATCTTATCCTCCATTTTAGCTACTCGCTCTTCCACCTTCTTTGCCCTATCATCAATAGCCACCCATATTGATTTAAGCTCTTTTTTCAAAACTAGAAATTTGTTTCTCAATCTGGTCAAAAGCACTAAGTTTTTTCTCTACTGCACATAATCTGTCACTTATTCCATTTAAACATTTCATAATATCCTTGTTTGTTGGTTCTTTTCATTGGACGCCATTTTCTCGAAAACTTTTGCTTTTGAATTTATGTCAAATACACTATTATCAGAGTTATCATCATATAAAACGGAATTAGTCTGGTTAAGTATGTCGCTCACAGAAATATTAAAATCTAAATCACCAGACGGGCCTCTTTGTTTAGATACCTTTCTATTGTTGATTTCTTCAACGTCAGTTCCACTGCTATTTCTATTCTTCCGTTTTTTATTTCCCATACTATATAAACTTTACTTATTTATATCCATTTTCAGCTATAAATCAAATCCAAAATCACTAGAAAAACTACTTTAAATCCTTTTTTTTCACAAATTTTTAACCGTTTTCAAAAAAGTGCTACCATTTTGACGCATGCGCATTATTATGTCTGACAATGAATAGGTACTACTCAAATTATGCACTGAACATAAAAAATAAATAAATAAAATTTGAGTAGAATGACTGGATTGAAAGGACTAAACAGATATTGATTGCATAAAATGTTCTTTTAGAAATTTTTTCAAAACCTTAGATGTGTGGGTAACCTGTTCCATTCCTGACAACTGTGACACATCTCTTAATCTTTGAATGGACTGTTCCAAACTGAAAAAACAGGTCAAGTCCATTACAAACTTTCAGGGGGTAGTGTTATTCTATTTTTAACTTTTCAGTGTGATAACATTTACGGAGAAGATGAGGAGGTTTAGGGAGGAAGTTAGGTTGAGCGAGGCAGTGAGGCGGCATGTAATGAGGGTAGAAAAACAATACTGTATATCATCACCACTTTATCAGAAATTTCACAGGTAAATTTTTGTTGATTGCTGTTTCATCACGCATTTTAAAGTTACGAGTATGTATGAGTTGTTAATTTTTTTATTGTCGATACCTGCATATGATTTGTTGTGTCCGCTGTCTAAGTTGTCTTAGCTCACTACGAAGAGCATGGGCTTTTTAGCTCACCTGTCACAAAGTGACAGGGTGAGCTTTTGTGATCGCTTTTCGTCCGGCGTCCGTCCGTCCGTCCGTCGTCCGTAAACTTTTACTTTAAATGACATCTCCTCATAAACCACTGAGCCAATTTCATCCAAACTTCACAGGAATGTTCCTTTGGTGGTCACCTTTAGAAATTGTTCAAAGAATTTAATTCCATGCAGAACTCTGGTTGCCATGGCAACCGAAAGAAAAAACTTAAAAAATCTTCTTTTAAAAAACCATAAGAGCTAGAGCTTAGATATTTGGCATGAAACATCTTCTAATGAGTGTCTACCAAGTTTGTTCAAATAAAAGCCCTGGGGTCAAAATTGGCCCCGCCCCGGGGGGTCATTGATTTTCCCTATATGCTTATAGTAAACACTTAAAAAATCTTCTTTTAAAGAACCCAAAGAGCTAGAGCTAAGATATTTAGCATGAAACATGTTCTAATGGGTGTCTACCAAGTTTGTTCAAATAAAAGCCCTGGGGTCAAAATTGGCCCTGCCCCGGGGGGTCATTGATTTTCCCTATATGCATATAGTAAAAACTTAAAAAGTCTTCTTTTAAATAACTCAAAGAGCTATGGCTAAGATATTGAGCATCAAACATGTTCTAATAGGTGTCTACCAAGATTGTTCAAATAAAAGCCCTGGGGTCAAAATTGGCCCCGCCCCAGGGGGTCATTGATTTTCCCTATATGCATATAGTAAAAACTTAAAAAATCTTCTTTTAAAGAACCAAAAGAGTTAGAGCTAAGATATTTAGCATGAAACATGTTCTAATAGGTGTCTACCAAGTTTGTTCAAATAAAAGCCCTGGGGTCAAAATTGGCACCGCCCCTGGGGTCATTGATTTTCCATATATATGTGTATAGCAAAAACTTAAAATCTTCTTTGAAAAAACCCAAATAGCTAGAGTTTAGATATTAAGCATGAAACATCTTCTAGTAAGTGTCTACAAAGTTTGTTCAAATAAAAGCCCTGGGGTCAAAACTGGCCCGGCCCCAGGGGTGTCATTGTTTTTAAATATATGTGTATAGTAAAAACTTGCCCTTGGATTTAATTGGCCCTGCAACGTTGGGGGGGGGGTTGGGGGGTCCTATGTACAGGTGAGCGACCTCAGGGCCATCATGGCCCTCTTGTTATATTTATACGGAACTGGTAAAATATAAATATTTATTATTTCTTGAATCATTAATGTCTTGATTAGATATGCTGTAGCTGAAAACATAAACAGTTTGTTAGAAATTGGGTTTTTTCCTTGTGTCACCAGGACAGACTGTCTTACCCATTCCTAATAACAATTATGCTTATTTTTTCCTAATTAGAAATATAAAATCCCAATTGAAACATGCCTTTATATTGAAGCATGTGTAATAATAGATAGAAATGTTTTGAATGCATAAAACTTTTGATTTCCAGATTTCTTCAAGTTAATGAGGAACAGATTATTTTTTTCACCTGAATTAGGTGATTTTACAAACTGGATTTAGTACTTTTTTCACAAAATGGCTATGTAAAGTGCTAGAATTGCAAAAAAATAAAACTGTCATTATGTTGTAATTTTTTTTTTTCGTTATCAACAGGGAATGGGGGACGGTTTTCAGAGAGGAAGAAAGGAGGTAATGCAAAATATTATTTTAAACCTTACACTGCTAAATATCTTTAATGGACTTGTCCATCTTTAAATCTGGACCAAACCATTCATCATTTTTAATGACTAAAATTTTAAAATGACTAATTTAGACTTGACATACATATTTTTAGCTTGACTATTTGAAGAATAGGGAGAGCTGTTGTACTCACCAAGGTGTTGGCGTCAGCGTAACACTTAACATTGTTAAATTTTTGTGTGCAAGCTTGAATCTTCAGATGTACTGAAGGGACTAACACATATTTGAGAGCATAAAAGGAGGTCAATCTTCAAGGCCCATAGCTCTAACATGGATTTTGACAGAATTGTGGCTCTTTGAACTTTGAAAATTCTATATTATCCAAGCATTGACGATAGTCCTACCAACAGCTCTTGTTCATATTGCAAAGCCTTGATGATATTGCAAATTTATTAAAGAAGGCACAACTTTTACAGTCTACAGAACAGGGCAACATTGCTGACAGGTTTTGACAGAAATGCTGAAAAAAAAAAATCAAAAACTTAAAAATGATCTTAGAACAAAAAAAAAACACAGACATTTCGTTAATATTTGTTTCAAGACATACCAAATTGTAATATGAATATATTTTGTTTCAATAAATGATATTTTTTGTTTAATTGTTGCAGTGCTGTACCGTTCAATCAAGAAGGTACTAACTACCGGAAGGAATTGTGTTGGACTCTTTTCCTTAATGCAAAAGGTAAGCAACGTTTAAATTTTTTGCAATAAATGTATTTGCAAACACGTGTTTTACTGTACAAAAATGTAAGTTTATTTTGTTGTTAACTTTTTTTTCCAATTTAGCAAATTTCGCAACACAATTTGCAATTTACGAAGGATACTTTTTCATAAGAGCTAGGAAAATATTATTATGTGGAAATCTGATACATGTTAATTTCTTTTTGTGCCCCTTGTGGCTGAGGGGTTGCCTTTAATGGTGGAGGCTAAAGAATTGCAGTCACTATCGTAAGAGGCGACTGAATGGGTGCGAATAACCAGGGTCTATCGCTCTATATCAAGATCTATATGTATCTCGGTGAGATGGTTTTGACCCCTGATGTTGCTTTGAAGTTTTTAACACCCGAGGTAAACCATAAACATCTTTCCTGTTTCGGCGAAATAAGACCTGTACTGTATTTGTGCACCTTGAAACCACAGTTTAAAACTACATTTCTGTTTATTATTTACAGAGAGATTGATGCCTGACAGTCATGAGTTAATCCACCTGTATTATATGTTACTCACATGTCTAGAATTTGTATTGAGAGATACCCCATCTTTCCAGCTTCACCCTCCATTTGGTAAGTTAAAACATGTATATACATTTTACATCTTAAATAAAATATCATTGTTTAGTGATTTTTTCCATCTTTTGATGGGTCTGGAAAATTGACTATTCCCAGATGCTGCTGATGGTTAAAAAAGATTATTTTTTGCTAAAATGGTGTCTAAAACACATCCATGTCATGTGATCATGGCATGCACTGTTTGCAATTCATTCACTACATGTTTTGAAAATTTCCCTAAAAATGATGAAATGATTTTGATACTTATACTGTATCCTTGAAATGTCCAGTTAGCCCACTAGGTAGATTGTTAGACTCTGAAATGGGGGACTCGGGTTCATTTCCCAGGTGCTACTGGTCACTTCCATTGTGATTGGTCATCAAAACCATGTGAGTGGCAGCGTGGCTGAGTGGTTAACGCGTCAGAATAGTAATCTAAGGATTGCTGACCGCATGGGTTCAAACCCTGTGAGGGGGCAAGCAGCTGTTGTTTCCTTGAGCAAGAAACTTGATATTCATTGTTTAGTACTGGTTGGTTTCAGGAACGGATTCGAGAGTGTTTCGATAAGCTTATAGCTTACAGCACAATCAAAGTAAAATAGATTTGTATAAACTAAAACCATTGGTCATTTGCACAATACCTCTGCTATGGTATGTACAGAAATTTTCAGTTCATCATGAAAGTAGTACTGGTAAACTGCTTGACAGCATGACCATTAATGATGCAGTGGCTGAACTATGCTCTTGTGAATTCAAAGTGTCTTACTGTCATGATCCTGTTGAAAAAAAGCCAACATCACCACCCCTGTATCCTCATAGTAAAGCTATGTTTTTGTCTTTCGGAGTATCAGTCAATGTTACTGGTATTTATTTTTTCAGACATGATGAAATTAAAGCACATGGAAAATTTGGACGAGAACGAGTTGAGCAAGGCCATCTTGAAGAAATTGTCTGAACACTTCCTGACAAGTTATGATGAGGTAAAATAAACATTTTAAAGTAGGTTATAACAAATGTTGCACATATATAAAATAAAAATATAAATAAATATTTCTAGTAGCACTAAAAAACAAATTTGTTTTATCCAGCTCATAAACTGCAGTCGACTCCACTTATAACGAACTCGTTTATAACGAATTATCGTTAATAGCGAACTAAATCTGACATCCCCGGCCGATTCCTTCTTTATTTTATATTAAATCACATCGCTTTATACGTACTCGCTTATAGCGAATTTTCGGCTATAACGAACCATTTTTCAAGGTCCCACATGACGGAAAACATTTAAATTTCCTCGGTTATAACAAACTGTTATAATTGAAATATCGGGATGCGCTCGATAAGAATCAGTACACGAATAACACTATCCGATAATTAAACAATCGAATGATTGCACAGGTAAGTTATGGCTTCAGGGAATAAAGATTTTGAAAAATGTTCTCACAACATAATTTCCTACTTGTTACGGAAAATTTGTATTTCACACCCTCAGTTGATTGATGTAAATGCCCGATAATTGCCAAGTAATCGACTGTTTGTGTTTGCAATATTAACCAAACGATAATAAACAAATAGCAAAAGAAAACAAATGGTAAGAACTTCATAGACAATACATGAATAAATTTATGTACCATGTACATAATATATTACTCAATAAAATGCCCTGTATTAAATAACCATTAAATAACCACTGCAGTAAAATACCGGTTACACAGGTAACCAGTGAAGAGTATGGCTTTTTCACGGCAAATTTCCCCATCCAAACAAGTCAGAAAGTTGTTGCTACTTCGCTTTTAGCGAACTTCGGATATAACGAACGATATTTTAATGTCCCATTGAGTTCGTTATAACCGGAGTCAACTGTACATACATACAACACTGTATATTATTGTGTATTGTAATTGTTAACAGATAGACATTCTGTTCGGTAATTTTTATGTACTCCATCAAATAATCATGCTATATGTGTATAATTGACTATTTTAGCTGTGCTATATGTTTATTATTGTGTATTTTCAGTTGATAGCCATGCAAACGGAAACAGAACCATTCTTTCAAAGTTTGAAAACAAAAAATGGTGACATAGATGTAAGTTTACTATAAGCATTTAGCTTTGATGTCACAGAGAGAGTTAAACCCTTCTACTACTGGAACTGAAAGCTTTTAGACTAAGCCACCTGTCTACAGCCAGGCCAGCCTGCAAATTTGTGCAGTCTGAACAGGCTCTATACTGTTGGTTAAATAAATTTTCATCTTGATATCCCTAAAAAAATTATAATGAACAGTTCCAAAATGGAAGCTGGACAAGTCCATTTAATAAATTCAGTAGGTTAAGAGTTGAAATAGATTTTGACATTTGTTTACAACATGAGGAAGAGATAATAAGGGCTAAGGATGTTAGGAAAAATCTATCCAGAGCTTGGAATTCTACAGAGATTTAATTTCTTTTCAAAATACATAGATAATGTTTAAGCGTCGCTTAACCTTGTAGAATATTTCCATGATTGTTTTAGAATTGTGAAATGAAATGATTCTGCCAAAACCAGCTGAATAAATTCTCAGTATTTTCTTCATTTTAATATTAATTTTGTTGCTATGATGCAAATCCATAACCAATCCTTGAATTTAAATTCAGAAGACAATGCCATCTAACCTACTGTATAAGTGGTTAAGTTAGTGACACTGAAAGATAGGCGAGTTTTTGCAAATTTAGAAAAATCGCTAAAAATTTCCTCAAGCGTAATTTCAGGCAACCTGTCATTAAGTTGTATTGTTTCACTTCGAGATCAGCGATTGGCTAATATTTCCTGGCGCGAAATGTCTGGAATTTAAAATTTCTTGAACTTTTCAACATGCTAAGATATCCACTTATACAGTATATTTAGCAGGTAATTCGCTGACTTTTCAAACACGCGGAAATATTCACTTATGTATTTAGCAGTTCATTAATTTTACAATCAACATTGCAAATTTAGAATTTGTAAACTTTTCAACATGCGAAGATATCCACTATTACGGTATATTTAGCAGCTCATTAATTTTACAATCAACATTGATGTAACAGGCCTGAAGTTTTGTTTTGATAGTGTATCTGTTAAATATACACATTTCTCATTTATGATATTTGTGTAGGTTTCACAGTTGAAGCACATATATGAGGAGAGATATAGAGAGCATGGTGGACTGAATGAGCTGCTGTTTCTGCAGAACGATCCACATCTTTTACCAAATAGTAACAAGTATGTCACAATTATTATATGCATTAATCCAATTGAAAATGGATTTTATAAGGGATTGATTCAAATTTTAGTTGAAAAGGCTCAGAACAGCCAGTAATGGTGTTATTTAAGAATTAAGTCTTTATATATGCACATAACAGTGTTACTAGCAATAGATAGGGGTGTCAAAATTTTTCCTGAATAGTCTAGATTTCCAGATTTAACCCCTCCCAAATTTATTTGCAGATGATGATCATATTGAGGTACTGTACGTGTACAATGTAACAAGATTTTGCTGCGTCATTGCTAAAAAATTAGAAATCAGTTTGTATCAAGCAAAATGTCACTCGATATTGAAAAAAATGTTATTGTCTTTCACATGTTAGATCGAATACCAAAGGGATATACTTTAATGAAAGGGATTAGATGTGTCTATGATCTAAGCATGAGAGAAATGGTTTCAGAAAATGTGTTTTGAAAAGGTCAAGACTGAACCCCTAGCTTACGTTCAGGATTTCTTATTCTGGTCTTGAACAGTGCAATCCTATACCCAGTAGCCTACTGTTCACACATTTTTTACGCAAAAAAAAAAATTAAAATAAATAAGTGTTTATGAGATATCATTTTAAATTGGTGTGTACTAAATAACAAATCTTTGGGGGTCACAAGTTCCCAACCAAACATACTCCTATTAATTGTCCCCCGCCTTTTCGAAGAAAAAAGGGGGATATAGTAATAGGCTCCGTCCGTCTGTCCGTCCGTCACACTTTCGTGTCCGGTCCATAACTTTGTCATTTTTCAAAGGAATCTGAAATAACTTGGCACAAATGTTTGTTATAATAAGACGATGTGTCATGCGCAAAAACCAGACCCCTAACTCCAAGGTCAAGGTCGCACTTGCTCATTCAAGGTCACATTGTCTATTTGATGGTATATGTCGTGTTCGGTCCATAACTTTCTTATTTTTGAAGGGATTTTGTAAATACTTGCCACAATTGTTCACAATAATGAGACAATGTGTCATGTGCAACAACCGGTCACCTACCTCCAAGGTCAAGGTCACACTTGGAGGTCAAAGATTAACATAGTCTATTACAGGGTATATTTTGTGTCCGGTCCATAACTTTTTCATTTATCAAAGGAATCTGAAATAACTTGGCACAAATGTTTGTTATAATAAGTCGATGTGTCATGCCCAACAACCAGACCCCTACCTCCAGGGTCAAGGTCGCACTTGCTCATTCAAGGTCAACATTGTCTATTTGAGGATATATGTTGTGTCCGGTCCATAACTTTCTTATCTTTGAAGGGATTTTGTAAATACTTGCCACAATTGTTCACAATAATGAGACAATGTGTCATGCGCAACAACCGGTCACCTACCTCCAAGGTCAAGGTCACACTTGGAGGTCAAAGATTAACATAGTCTATTACAGGGTATATTTTGTGTCCGGTCCATAACTTTTTCATTTATCAAAGGAATCTGAAATAACTTGGCACAAATGTTTGTTATAATAAGTCGATGTGTCATGCCCAACAACCAGACCCCTACCTCCAGGGTCAAGGTCGCACTTGCTCATTCAAGGTCAACATTGTCTATTTGAGGATATATGTTGTGTCCGGTCCATAACTTTCTTATCTTTGAAGGGATTTTGTAAATACTTGCCACAATTGTTCACAATAATGAGACAATGTGTCATGCGCAACAACTGGTCACCTACATCCAAGGTCAAGGTCACACTTGGAGGTCAAAGATTAACATAGTCTATTACAGGGTATATTTTGTGTCCGTTCCATAACTTTTTTATAGATCAAAAGATTTTGTAAATACTTGCCACAAATAGTCACTATAGTAAGACAATGTGTCATGTGCAACATCTGCATCCCTACCTCCCAAGTTCAAGGTCACATTTAGAGGTCAAAAGTTTACGTATTCTGTTTTAGGGTATTTTTTGTACTTCTTCAGGATTTTGAAATAACTAGGCACAAATAGTCACAATAATAAGACAATATGTCAGATACAACACCTGCACCCTTACCTCCTAGGTCAAGGTCACACTTAGAGGTCAAAGGTTAACAGAGTCTGTTATATGGTTTATTTTGTGTCCCGTCTATAACTTCTTCATAGATCAAGGGATTTTGAAAATACTTGGCACAAATAGTCACAATGATAAGATGATATGTCATGCATAACACATGTGTCCTTACCTCCAAGGTCAAGGTCACACATAGAGGTCAAACATTTACATACTCTGTAATAGGGTATATTTTGTGTCCAGTCCATAACCTGAGATTTTAAAAATACCTTGCACAAATAATCACAATAATAAGATGATATGTCAGGTGCAAAACATGGGCCCCCTACCTCCAAGGTCACACTTAGAGGTCAAAGATTGACACAGTCTGTTATAGGGTATATTTTGTGTCCGATCTATAACTTCTACATAGTTAAAGGGATTTTGAAATAACTTAGCACAAATAGTAATATTAATTAGATGATATGTCATACACAACACCAGTTCATCACCCCTACCTTTAAGGTCAAGGTCACACTTAGAGGTCAAAGGTTAGCATGATAGAATTTTACATTCCGTGTTTCATTTTACTAGTATTTCTTTAATAAATTCATAGTTGCATTTGTAGATCTAGCATTGATCATAATTTTGGAATGAAAGTCCTGACAGCCATACCTCAATCTTTTGAAATAGCGCAATTTTATGCTTCATATAAAACTTCCCCGAGGCGGGGAACGTTGGTAACTCTGTTACAAATTCTTGTTGATATTGAATCAGGGTTTTCATTTTTAACTGAGGCAACAAATATGCCAGTGAAAACAACTGATTTGGCCAAGGATCAAGGGGGACTTTAAGTCTACAGGCTGAAAGTACAACTGATTTTAACAACATTTCAACCGATAATGTAGATTGTCAGTCTGTTAATAATGAAAAGCTTGCATTTGCCAGATTTCTCTACCATGTAGACTTACTTAAACAATGCATGTTAGTGATATTTTATGGATTATTATACCCCCGCACAACAAAGTTGTAAGGGGGGTATACTGGAATCAGCTTGTCCGGCTGTCCGTCCGTCCGTCCGGCCGTCCGTCCGTCGGTTTTTTCTTGTCCGCCCAATAACTTAAGATTCCTTTGACCCACAGTCTTCATATTTGGCATGGAGGTTAGTCATGATTAGTAGATGACCCCTATTGATTTTGAGGTTACTAGGTCAAAGGTCAAGGTCACAGGGGCCTTGACTTCAAAAAGCTTGTCCGCCCAATAACTTAAGATTCCTTTGACCTACAGTCGTCATATTTGGCATGGAGGTTAGTCATGATTAGTAGATGACCCCTATTGATTTTGAGGTCACTAGGTCAAAGGTCAAGGTCACAGGGGCCTTGACTTCAAAAAGCTTGTCCGCCCAATAACTTAAGATTCCTTTGACCTACAGTCGTCATATTTGGCATGGAGGTTAGTCATGATTAGTAGATGACCCCTATTGATTTTGAGGTCACTAGGTCAAAGGTCAAGGTCACAGGGGCCTTGACTTCAAAAAGCTTGTCCGCCCAATAACTTCAGATTCCTTTGACTTACAGTCGTCATATTTGGCATGGAGGTTAGTCATGATTAGTAGATGACCCCTATTGATTTTGAGGTCACCAGGTCAAAGGTCAAGGTCACAGGGGCCTTGACTTCAAAAAGCTTGTCCGCCCAATAACTTCAGATTCCTTTGACCAACAAACAGTCTTCATATTTGGCAATTAGATTGGTCTTCATTAGTAGATGATCCCTATTGATTTTGAGGTCACCAGGTTAAAGGTCAAGGTTACAGGGGCCTTTACTAAAAAAGCTTGTCCGCCCAATAACTTAAGATTCCTTTTACCCACAGTCTTAATATTTGGCATGGAGGTTAGACATGATTAATAGATGACCCATATTGATTTTGAGGTCAATAGGTTTAAGGTCACAAGGACCTTGACTAAATAAAGCTTGTCTGTCCAATAACTTAAGAATCCTTTGACCCACAGTCTTAATATTTCGCATGGAGGTTAGTCATGATTAATAGATGACCCCAATTGACTTTGAGGTCACCAGGTCAAAGGTCAAGGTCACAGGGGCCTTGACTTCAAAAAGCTTGTCCGCCCTATAACTTAAGATTCCTTTGACCCACAGTCTTCATATTTGGTATGGAGGTTAGTCATGATTAGTAGATGACCCCTATTGATTTTGAGGTCACCAAGGTCAAAGGTCAAGGTCACAGGGACTTTGACTTCAAAAAGTTTGTCTGCCAAATAACTTTAGATTCCTTTGACCCACAGTCTTCATATTTGGCATGGATGTTGATCATGATTAGTAGATGACCCCTTTTGATTTTGAGGTCACTGGATCAAAGGTCAAGGTCATAGGGACTTTGACTTCAAAAAGTTTGTCCACCCATTAACTTAAGATTCCTTTGACCCACAGTCTTCATATTTGGCATGGATGTTGATCATGACTATAAGGTGACCCCTATTGATTTTGAGGTCACTGGGTCAAAGGTCAAGGTCACAGGGACCTTGACAAAAAAAAGCTTTTCTTCTCAATTGCTAAAGAATGTCCTGTCCGCAATGTATTGATTTTGACATTTTCACATTTGAAGCATGTAGAATACATAACTTAGCAATGCACTGGCTTAGTAACCTCAGATTTGGCAGGGAGGTTGTCCTTGAGCTCTAAATGGCCACTGTTGATTCTGACAAAGTGGTATGCGGGGGTATTCACGCCATGATAGTGGCAGTTCTAGTTTCAATAGTAGTTACTAACACAACCCTTCACATAACCGTAATACAAAGTTGTTTATTGCAAATATTCATTTCCCATTAGGGACATATTTTCGACAAACATTTTCAGTTTCTTAATGTAATATTTAAAGCTATCTTTTTATTTGCTTTGTATATATGTCTGTATAATTTTGATATTTATTATATTACTTAGATCACAATCAAGTGTAATAACACCCAGTAAAGAATGCCCTGTGACCCCTATACGAGCTGCCATGAACAGTATACAAGAGTTAAACAACACATTGTCTTCATCGCAAGAAGAGCCATGCTCCCAGTTGAAAAATTATTTTCAGGTAAGATTGAATTCTTTTCACATTTTCAATTTTCAAGAAAGACCGACGATGAAATAGACTTACTCCTGAATCAAGAATATTTAAGGTTTTCCCAGCTGATCTGTTGGTACAAACAAACTTACAGTTACAGCTTTGAAAATAAGGTTAACTATTCGTGACCGATAGTGCACCGTAAAGCTATAATGGTAAAAGTTTGGTTGTCCTAGGGGGTTTGGTTAGAAAAACACACATTTGCCGAGTTCTGTATAACCTCTTTGAACATGCCTGCAACAAAGCAGTTTTATGTTGAATTCAGTAAGTTTAAACAGTTATTTAAAGCTATGAATTTTAATGTGCCTTGATCAATAGATTGGGTAGTTTGTTCTTGGTCTGTTTGTTTGTTACACAACTTTAACATGAACATAACTTGGAAGTTTACCTCTAAAGGTCTTGGTAAGTTCTTCCTGCCAGACCTACTAAGAGGTCACTGGGTCAAAGGTCAAGGTCACAAGTGCCAAGGCCCTGCTGGGATCATGGCATTCATTTGAATTACGCGTTTCCTTTTTTTTTTGTATTATAAGAAAAAGCTAGAAAATTGACAAACGAGCAAAAGAGCTGGGCATTTACATGAACTTGATCATTTATTTGATTGATTGTATAATATTTTCTTGTTTTTATCTTTCAGAAATGTTCATGTAACCCTGAGGCCTCTATAATCAGTAGAGTGAATAAGTTTAGACAGCAGTTTTGTGAAATTTACGTCCTGAAAACAAACAGCTCACAGAGAAGTATTGCTGAACAACGGTTTAAGCAAGCAGGCTGTCTGTACTACAGAGTTATGAAAATGCTTCTTGATATGGTAAGTGTATAGATAATGGTTAATTACGGGCTGTGTATATTGCTATTAAGTTTTTAACACTGCCAAGTTTTAACACAGTCAAGATTGTAATATGTATACTTATTTGACAATTGTGATGTTTATATTATCTATGTAGATTGTTGCTGTATATTATGTATGAATTTATATTATTTTTCTAAGAAAGGAACATTATATGTCAGGTTATATGGCTGTGTAAAAATGATGATATATTACCATCATCTAGCAACTTTGGTAATATAATTATTTATGCTCAGCCATACAACCTTCAGTTTGGGTAATATAAACTTTGAATTGTTTATACTCTGCTATAATTATAACCTTGTCAAAAATCTTAATAAATGATAAAAATTGTAAAATAGAAGCTATTTGAGTACACCATGTATGGCTGAGTTAAATAATTTCAAGAAAAAGATTGTATTTTACTCTTGGAATGGATTCAAAATTTTTACTTTTCAGCTCGTTTTGACTAGTAGAACTACAAATATTTATGGCAGAATGAGTAGAAAATTGTTGCTTGCTAATAGAATTGAGTAGCTACTGGTCTTGAAGGATGAGTGGCTCTGAATTTTATTTTCAATCTGTTGATCTATGAGGCACATGTTAGATTTGTTAGACACAATTGATATTTAACACAAGTAATGTTAATATTTCAGGAGACGGAGCGACTGTCACAGAATGATTTTAGTAAACTGTTGAATAACGACACTTTCCATAGATCATTGCTGGCTTGTTCTGTAGAAATAGTATTGATCACCTACAATATCTCATGTAAGTAGGACGGAAAATTTGAGGACGGGCCTTCATGGCCAAGTGGTTGAGGTGACTAAATTAGAATCTTTTGCTCCTAACTGTTGCAGGTTTAAGTCCTGCTTGGACCTTTGAATTCTTTGAGGGAGTTATCTGGTTATATATCTAGCTACCTAGCTGACAGAGGGTCGGTGGACAGAGGGCACCTGAGGCCTTCCTCAACTAGTAAAGCAGGAAAGTTGCTGTATGACCTATACTGTGTTGTTGCAATGTTAAACCCAGTCCACACAAAAAAGAAAAGAAAAGAAGATATCATATTAAGATAGAAAAAACAGATAAAAAAAAATTCCCCTCAAAATATGTACTTAAATTATTATGTTTATATGTTTTTAAGATAATAAAAGTATGTCTTAATGTGGAAATTTTTAGTGTTATACTACTTTAACTGAAATATTGTTTTCTTTAGGTTATCCATCCCGGTGCAGACCAGAGTCTGAAGATTACGTTTTTGCCTTTCCCTGGATATTAGATGTCTTCCATTTGTTTGCGTATGATTTTTACAAAGTTTTGGAGAGTTTTATAAAAGTGGAGACAAAGTTAACAAGAGAAGTTGTTCAGGTGAGAATGAGTTTATATTGATTGAAGATATAAGTTTCTTTTACTTGTACATTCACCTTGTCGTTATACCCCAACCACATGATGCGGAGAGGACTATAATATAATCACTTTGTTTTGTCTGTCGGTGTGTATGCCTTTTACTTTATAAATCATATGCGTATTACAAGACACTTGGCTAAAATGTTCACCTCTGCGAGGTGTTGTGAGGGCCGCCTGAGGTTTTCATCCAAGGTCAGTTGAAAAGTCACCACATGACCGCAGCAGTGTTAGGAACACCTTTAAAATGACATTTCCAATTTTATTAAAATTAGTGTAATCGTATCCTTTTATCTAAGTTAATTTGTTTAAACATTTTTCAAAATACCAATAGTACAAAATTTAACTGCTTATTCCTGTGAACTGTTATGTGTAAGTATTTACAATTTGAGTTTAAATACCTTCAAAATAAAGCACCTTTTGATATTCATATTTTTCAGCATTTGACTTGCATTGAGAATAAAATCCTTGACAGTATAGCTTGGAAAACAGTAAGTGTTTTAATTTTTTTCTTCTAAAAATCTGTGACCTCAAAGTAAGGATAACATGCATGATATGTACTCGTTTTTGATTGTACAGAAAAAATTTCAAAATCAAACTTTAGAAAAAATGTACTAAGATTTCAAGAAATGTAAAAAAAAGATTCAAGATTCTAGTAATAATTTATATGTTATGAGAATTTAACGACTGATTTTGCAGTATTTATCAACTTATTTCTACTCTTGACTCACACAGTAAGGGGCTATATTTTCATATTCTGGCCTCTTTTTTTAGTAATTTACGTTGATAGTAAGAGCCATTTGCAATGTGTTAATTACTTTTTTTGTTTACTTCAAAATATTTACTGTTAAATCAATTTTCAAAATGAGCATGAATCTGGAGGATGCTGTTTTCACAGCTACTTCTTTATAACAACTGTTTCAAATTTTCCCCTAGTAAGTCTTCACAAAAGATTTAACCTCTCCAGAGCAAGCACCTTTCAGCAACAACCAGTATCTCTACCTTTTAAAAGGGGTTGCTCTGCAGAGGTTGTACTTGTATTATGTATTGCAGGGTTCACCAGTTTTTGAGGCAATAGAAAAGTCAGAGACAATAAATACAAATTTTATATCACCATGCGATGCGGTTAACGGAAATGGTTCCCATTCAACAGCTGCTGAACTGTAAGTACCTTAATTTCTTCGAGTTAGACTAAAAAAAGGATTGGAGCACCACACTAAATACCGTATTCCGGTATATACCAGACAAGGCGCTTGAATGATTAAATGCTAAAATCTTACCATTTATGTATGATAATGAATGAAAAATGTAAGAATCGGCATAAAAAAGATACTTATTTATTTTGTGCTTATGATTTCTACAAGGTTTTGAGGTACTGCTCCAATCCTGTAATGACTTAAATCCAATTTTTTCTGTCTTTAATTTCTTTAACCCATGTAACACTAAATGTCTCAATTAGACTTGTCCATCTTTTAGACCTGAACAAAACCATTCATCAATTTTACATCGGTTGCATTCAGTGTCAAAATTTTTGAATGCTTTGATACTTTTGCTAAAAAGAAGTTAATGGTCTACAAATTGCCATCTTGCAGAGGTTGCACTGTAATTAAAAATCTCTTTTTTTCCCCTTCACAACTTTATAAACATTTGACTTTTTAAATTTAATAAAATAAAATGATATTGTTATGGTAAGGTAACTTAGAAAATTCAATTTAAAAAAAATAATTTTTTTTTTATCTCCAGTTACCTATCACCTGTTCGAGGACAGAGAACACGGGGGACATTACAAGAAAATGTGACATCACCAGCAAAATCCACACAGCCTGCCGCTGGGAACCAGTCTAAAGATAGTTCACAACCAAAACCTGTAAACAGTTCTAAAAGATCACATTCACTGAACATGTTTTTTAATAAAGGTACACAAATTTAATGCTTGACAAAACAGTAAAATTTTACTTGGCATATTTATTTTCCACCAACATTGCTTGATATGTCTGTAAAGACTTGACCGATAACATAAAGATTTAAACTTTTCCCTGTCTTGTGTTGATTACATTAAGTTTTAAACCCATCACTGTCTCATGCCAATAACAAAGGTTTTCAACTTTTCACTGTCTAGTACCGATAACTTAAAGTTTATAACTTTTCACTGTCTTGTGCTGATAACATTAAGTTTTAAACTTTTCACTGTCTTGTGCCGATAAACTTTTCACTGTCTTGTTCGGATAACATAAAGTTTTAAATTTTTCATTGTCTTGTGCCAATAACATTAGGTTTTAAATTTTTCACAGTCTCATGCCAATTTTCGTTCTGTTCTTTCTGCTACCAGGTAATTTGAAAAAAAATATGTACTGGTTTCTGATCAACTCATTTTGAACCATTTATGATAATATCATTTATTATACCCCCGAAACGAAGTTTTTGGGGGGTATATAGGAGTCACCCGGTGGTCGGTCGGTCAGTCCAGCGGTCCGTTCCATTTTCCTTGTCCGGAGCATAACTTGAAGACTAATAGTTGGAATTCAATATAACTTCATACAATGGTCAAGCACATTGAGAGGAAGTGCAGTGCACAAGAACCATAACTCCATCTTGACTAATTACAGAGTGATTGCCCTTTGTTACTTTTCCTTGTCCGGAGCATAACTTGAAAACTACTGGTTGGAATTCAAAACAACTTCATACAATTGTCAAGCACAGTAAGGGGAAGTGCAATGCATCAGTACCATAACTCTATCTAAAGTAATTACAGAGTTATTGCCCTTTGTTACTTTTCCATTGCTTTCTTTTGTTCCGGACCATAACTGGAAGACTAATAGTTGGAATTTAATATAACTTTATACAATGGTCAAGGACATTGAGAGGAAGTGCAGTGCACAAGAACCATAACTCCATCTTGACTAATTACAGAGTTACTGCCCTTTGTTACTTTTCCTTGTCCGGAGCATAACTTGAAAACTACTTGTTGGAATTCAAAACAATTTCATACAATGGTCAAGCATAATAAGGGGAAGTGCAGTGCACAAGAACCATAACTCTATCTTGACTAATTATAGAGTTATTGCCCTTTGTTACTTTTTCATTCCTTTTTTGTTCGGAGCATTACTTGAAGACTAATGGTTGGAATTCAAATTACAGAGTGATTGCCCTTTGATACTTATCCTTGTCCGGAGCATAACTTAAAACATACTGGTTGTAATTCAAAACAACTTCATACAATGGTCAAGCACAATAGTAGGGAGTGCAGTGCACAAGAACTATTCAGAGTAATTATAGAGTTATTGCCCTTTGTTACTTTTCCATTGCTTTTTTCTTGTCCAGAGCATAACTTAAAAACTGCTAGTTGGAATTCAATACTATTTCATACAATGGTCAAGTATATTGAGAGGAAGTGCAGTGCACAGAAACTATAACTCTTTTCAAAGTTTTTGCCCTTTGTTACTTTTTATTGTCCAGTGCATAACTTGAAAATTAATGGTTGGAATTCAATACAACTTCATACAATATTCAAGCACAATAAGAGGAAGTGCAGTGTACTATAACCATAACTCCATCTTCAGTATTTATAGAGTTATTGCCCTTTGTTCCTTTTCCTTGTCTTTCTGGACTTATGACAGAGTAAATCAATAAAATTTCATCAATGACCAACCACATTGAAAGGAAATGCAACATACATGAACCACAACTATCTTTATTTGCCCACAACCTTAACTCTATTTCAATTCTTTTACAAGGTATTCTGTTACTAGTAACATCCTCATTTCCAAAGCTGTCTTGCAGGGGTTTTAATCACATTTAGTGATAGTTCTAGTTATTTTTGCATTAAATCAACCTTTGCTCAATTAGAAAGTAGTTGAAAATTTGATTATTCCCAATTTGATCTTGATCTGTTTGAAGATGATAATATTTACTTGTATTTAAAGGGGTTTTTGGACATGAGAATTTCATTTTCTGATATTATTATGTTGTGTTTTTCAGTGTGCAGACTGGGTTACCACAGATTAATAACACTTTGTGATCTTCTTCATGTGCCAAAAGATACTGTAAGTATATAATGTAATTTTGTCCTAAATATTTATTGTCGCATTTTAACACTTTTTACCTAAACCTAATTGTGAAGTCTTTCAAAAAAACTTGCTTAGAATAAAAGGAAATATTAGCTTTGCATTTTCTATTGTGGCATAAAAATCTCTCTTACTTATCCTTTGTTTGAAGACAGAGCAATTATCCCTTTTAGCCATAAAATAGAGGAGTTATCCCTCTTAGCTATAAAATAGAGGAGTTATCTCTCTAAATAATATGCTAGAGGAGTTATCCCAGTTTGTCATAAGATGGAGGAGTTATCCCTCTCAGCCACAAGATAGAGGAGTTTTCAGTATTAGCCATAATATTGAGGGGCTATTCCTATAAGCCATAATAAAAAAGGAGTATTCTGAACTTATTTCTCTTTGCCATAAAATTGGGGAGTTATTCCTCTTAGCCTTAAAATAGATGAGCTGTACCTCTTTATCATATGTCAGAGGAGTTATCCCTCTTAGCCATTAGGTCGGGGAGTTATCCTTCCTAGTGGTGAAATATTTATTCTGTAAGCTCAAGTTTTCATACTTTCACCCACTATATACCTTGCTATAGACTTTCTCTTTCTTTTTCAGCAACAAAAGATTTGGACATGTTTGGAGTTTTCTATAACAAGTTGTCCCCAGTTGATGATGGATCGACATTTAGATCAGGTATTGTAAGCTAAACTATTAATTTATATATACATACTGGTAGTACTTTATAATTAGTTGGTTTCTATCTTCCAGAAAGCCCATCCATTTTGTCAGGCCTATGAAAGATTGAAAATCATGTTTGTATGTGTATTTGAGTTTATTTATAGTCGCCATTGGTTGCCCATATGGGTGAGTCCTCCAGAAGAGTATTAGTCAGTATATATTTTGGAGGATAGTGCAAGAGAGATGCCCCAATTCAAGGAGCTTTAGCGTGCCAAATATTTAAGGACTCATACACAGGACCTCCATTTAAAGTCTTATCCGAAAAACTGATAAGTAGTTTTAGTTGGCAAGGCTGGAAATCGAATCCACAGAGTCAGAAGTCATGTTTTTGCTAGACTTTTGTTTTATAAGCATTTCTAGTTATGGATTCATTTTAGTGAGAAAAAGGCTGATTCTGAAATCATTTGGGAGTAGAAGTTTGTAGTAGTTACTGGTAAATTGTAGAGGAGAGCCAGTTAAGCTGAGCGACTGCCTAGATATGTCCAAAAAATAATTTGTCAATCTTTGTCGAAAACCAGATAAAACAAACTAACATATACATATAAATGAAAATGCTATTCATTTAGCTTACAGTACAGCAGGGTTTTAATTATTAACAGATTGGTGATCCATCCATATAATAGATTAAAATGCTGTTAAAATAGGTTGTATTTTCATAGACATCAAATATATGAATAGTTATATGCACCCTAGAATATAAGAAAAAATAAAAAAAATGAAAAAGCACACAAACAAAAAAACAAAGGTTCTCCAGTTGTTTATATTTTAGCCTGTTTATTTCAAAGATAAAGGCAAGCTATATTGGTCACTGCAGTGTCATTGTTGTCGGCATTGTGCAAAAACGTAAATTAAGGCCATTTCTCAAACACCAATAGAGGTGTTGATATAACACTTGGAATACTTCCTTATCATGACGAGCTACAGTTATAATACAAATAGCTTAATTTTGAAAGCAGTATTTTTGGAGTTACCCCCCTTTTCAACATATAATTTTTATCAAACAAGCATTAAAACTGCATGCAATGTTTGTTCTATTTCAGGGATTGAACATATATGTTATAAAGTATTTTCTTTTGTTTATGTTTTTCAGATTATGATGTGCTCACTGTATGGTATATGTAAAGTGTCAGAATGTGACATCAAGTTTAAGGATATTGTGAAATGTTACAGCAGTTTGACTCACGCTGATCCTAAGGTATGTCAGGACTTAAATAATATATTTATCGTAATGTAAATATTAGCCATGTCATACTTCATGTTTTCTCATATAGATGCTTTTCACATTTCAATTATTACCTCCTTTGGCAACCATTTTGACGGTCTATTCAAAATATATTACATGCTTAGGATATATTGCTGCTATGATAATATTTTCCTTCATAAGTATAAAAATATTTGACAGTTCATAAAAATCAGTTGTTTATATTGATGTTTTCTTATTTTGTCAATTATATGATATAGAATATAGAACAAAGTGGCTGCCAATGCAAATATTGAAAAAATCAGGAACTATCTATTGTACATATATCTTTATGCCTCAGAAATGAATAAAAAATCTTTAGAAGAGACAAACATATAGTATATAAGGAGCTTATCACTGAAAGTTATTGGGCTGAATGTGAAATATGTCATAAAGGTAGCAAAAGGTGAACAATCTGATATTCTGATTTCTGTACAAAAAACTTTACAAAAATGTTATTAATTATTACAGTTTACAAACAAAATAAACTGAATTTGACTTTAAAAGCCTGGTTTTAATGAATATTGTCTCAGAGTATTATAAGGGAAGGGGTTCTTAAATTCTGTCGATTGTCCAAGAATGAGACCGAAAGAAGTTACAAACTTTCATTTAAGTGAGTGATATTAGGGGCCATATTGGCTCCCGTGTTTATCTGCTTGTCAAGTGGACTCGTGTTTAAAGGGACTCGAATGACCTCAAAATGCCTGAAAAGAAAAATTTTGCAATTCTCACATCGATCAAGTGAAGCAATTGAAATGGTAAAATCTACAAGGGAATGAAATATATTATATACTTAGATTAAATTAAAATCAGTATTTTGCACAATTATTAAACCAATTTGAGCGAATGCAGTTTCCCTTTGAGGTCATTTTGCACAATACAAGTGATGATTCTGGATTAACAGGACGTGGGAATGAACTGAATACTTGCACACAAGTTATTTATTCATACTTACATTTAATGGTAGACAAATCTTTGAAAAATATTTCCAGTCCCGTAATGATTAAAAAACCTCAGTTGAGTCCCTTTAAAGTGGATTGGTGTACAATGGATTGAGTTCCTTTAACATTGATTGTGGTTTGTTTTCAGGTATACAAACAAACGTTGATAAAAGATCAGCAGTATGATTCTATCATCAATTTCTATAACATTGTCTTCATGCAGACCATGAAAAATTTCATTCTACAGTTCGCAAAACCAGCTGTAAGTACAATTGCCAGCTATTGAGTTTGTTTGTTGTCATTTTGAAAAACGTCAAGTGGCAAATGATGGACAAAATAATGTATACTTGTATTCTGAATATTTAATTGCAATATAAACAAAGTAAACATCTCAAAATTTTTATACATTACTGTACCATAAACGATATTGAATGAGTGTAACTTCAATACTGAATTTATGAATTTGTTTCATACAATTATAATAAGTGCGACTTTGACCTTTGAAGTTAAAAAAATTAGTAATAAAGCAACTCAAATTGATTATTCTATTTATCACATCCATAAATTGAGAACTGTTTAAAGTAAAAAATTATTATTTCCTCATTGACAAGCTCTTAGTGAAACAAAACATTTAGCGTATCTATACACTTATTTTGTCTAACACAAATGATGTCACATCAAAATATATGCATTGCTATTCTTTACCATTTTAAAAGAGTCACAAAAGAGACACAGGCTTGTCATAAATAAGTTACATGAAAAGTTTTATCTAGATAGTCGTGGGGCTTTCTGGAATTATGGGAGATTTTCGCTTGTGACTCCTAAAATTTTACACTTTTCCTCCTTTATGATAAATTACCTATATCATGTGACTTCCACTGTTAAACATATCAGTCTATGACTTCCAAATTTTGGAAGTCTTAATGGAAGCCCTGAGAAACGTGTATATGTAAGCTAATCTGAGTAGATTGCCTCATATCAGAACTTTACCATGACAAATTGACAACATAATGTATGTTTATTATCATTACAGCAACCAAACTTATCACCTGTGCCTAGACCTGTAGCTTCATCATTAAATACATCCCCTGTCTACAGGTAAGTCGAGTAGTTTCTGTCAATAAGTTACAGAAGTGCCTAGTAGTTACAGAAGTGCCTAGTAGTTTCTGTCCATTAGTTACAGACCTTTTCCTTTCCAGTTGCAAAAATGATGCATATTTTTAAAGAAAAAAAAATTGAATATTATAAATAAATATTATTAATAAAGAATATTATATTTGTGTAATAATAAGCTATTGTTATATTTCTTTTTTTTTTAAGACCAATTTAACATATTTTGCAAAATATTTTCAATCAGAACCCCCATTTCAAAAGAGTCAGGGAGAAAGAATAAAGCACTTGCCTCTTGGGCATTGTATGAACTATCATTGTTCTGTTTAGATACATGTATGTCTGACAGTGCTAGAAATACTAAAATACATTTAAACAGACTGGAAATATTTATTATTAAAGGAACTCTACTGAGGTCCAAAAGCCTAAAAACATAAAATTTGTATTTCTTACATAGATCAGCTGGGACACTTCAAACAGATATCCAAAATATAATTAAGATATATATTCTAAAAAAGATTAAGAATCATATATTTGTGCTTTTCTTAGCCTAATTTGAGTGAAAAGCGTTATTGATGTAGACCTACATCAAATGGAACATTAATCTCGAACTATTATTTCCAGTTCTGTCCAAATAAAAACCCAGTCAAGTCCCTTTAAATATTCAGTTATATTTTTTGCAGGATACAGGGTAGACAGAATTTTTATGTGTCCCCACTGAAAGTATCTCCATTTAAGTCTATCCAATCACCAGGCAGTATGACACCTAGATCTCGACAGCTGTACAGTTTCGGGGACTCGCTTGGGGTAAGTTCAGTTTAGGATTAAATCTTTCATGTTAACATTGCTGGAAACAAAAGTAATTAGTCTTTGCCACCAGTATATAGCCCGAAATTGATAAAAGACAGTTCCAAAAATGGAAAAGTTCATTTACAGCAGGTTCTGTGTTAACTAATGACTCAGGTTATGTGAGTAGTAGTGCATTCTGTACTTTAAGATATTTTAAAACTTGGAGTAACATGGGCAGAAGTAAAAACAATAAAATACCCAAGCAATTGAATGATGAAAAGTGATAAAATCATATGCATCAACTACTGTTGGCCTAAAGTGCTTAAAGTTTTGACTTGAAAAAGAATGCTATTGTAAGTTACAAAATCATATCTTGCAAATTGTGAATAAAAATATGATGTTGACCTTTTATATGGTTTTGATAAATATTTTGAATGAAATGCCATTAAAATTTGATTTATACCTGTTGAATTTAGTTATAATGTTTGATGTGTTGTTTCTCATTTACTTTATTCCACCAGTCCTCGATGAAGTTGAAGAGCATAAATGAGAGTCTATCAGCATTCAAGTCTCGAAATAACCAGCCATGTGTAACTGCTCAATCTAGACCAGTAGGAAAAAGACTGAGCTTCGAAAATACAGATGACAATCGGCAAAAGTAGGTCATTTATTTCAGTCTTGAACTTGTATGTGATCATATCTGTCTACAAGTTAATATTTGTGTGATTGTACTTGGTTTAATGGGATACATTTTTAGCTCACCTGTCACAAAGTGACAGGGTGAGCTTTTGTGATCGCTTTTCGTCCGGCGTCCGGCCGTCCGTAAACTTTTGCTTTAAATGACATCTCATAAACCACTGAGCCAATTTCATCCAAACTTCACAGGAATGTTCCTTTGGTGGTCACCTTTAAAAATTGTTCAAAGAATTTAATTCCATGCAGAACTCTGGTTGCCATGGCAACCGAAAGAAAAATCTTTAAATATCTTCTTTTAAACAACCCTAAGAGCTAGAGCTTAGATATTTGGCATGAAACATCTTCTAGTGAGTGTCTACCAAGTTTGTTCAAATAAAAGCCCTGGGGTCAAAATTGGCCCCGCCTCAGGGGGTCATTGATTTTCCCTATATGCATACAGTAAAAACTTAAAAAATCTTCTTTTAAAGAACCGTAAGAGCTAGAGCTTAGATATTTGGCATGAAACATCTTCTAGTGAATGTCTACCAAGTTTGTTCAAATAAAAGCCCTTGGGTCAAAATTGGCCCCGCCCCGGGGGTCATTGATTTTCCCTATATGCATATAGTAAAAACTTAAAAAGTCTTCTTTTAAAGAACCGTAAGAGCTAGAGCTTAGATATTAAGCATGAAACATCTTCTAGTGAATGTCTACCAAGTTTGTTCAAATAAAAGCCCTGGGTGAAAATTGGCCCCGCCCCAGGGGTCATTGATTTTCCCTATATGCATATAGTAAAAACTTAAAAAATCTTCTTTTAAAGAACCCAAAGAGCTAGAGCTAAGATATTAAGCATGAAACATCTTCTAGTGAGTGTCTACCAAGTTTGTTCAAATTAAAGCCCTGTGGTCAAAATTGGCCCCACCCCGGGGGGTCATTGATTTTCCCTATATGCATATAGTAAAAACTTAAAAAATCTTCTTTTAAAGAACCATTAGAGCTAGAGCTTAGATATTTGGCATGAAACATCTTCTTGTGAATGTCTACCAAGTTTGTTCAAATAAAAGCCCTGGGGTCAAAATTGGCCCCGCCCCAGGGGGTCATTGATTTTCCCTATATGCATATAGTAAAAACTTAAAAAATCTTCTTTTAAAGAACTCAAAGAGCTAGAGCTAAGATATTTAGCATGAAACATGTTCTAATGGGTGTCTACCAAGTATGTTCAAATAAAAGCCCTGGGGTCAAAACTGGCCCCGCCGGGGGGGGGGTCATTGAATTTCCTTATATGTGTATGGCAAAAACTTAAAAATCTTCTTTGAAAAAACCCAAATAGCTAGAGTTTAGATATTAAGCATGAAACATTTAAGTAAATATCTACAAAGTTTGTTCAAATAAAAGCCCGGGGGTCAAAACTGGCCCTGCCCCAGGGGTGTCATTGTTTTTAACTATATGTGTAAAGTAAAAACTTTCAAAATCTTCTTTTAAAAAACCAAATGAGCTAGAACTTAGATGTTTAGCATGAAACATCTTATGGGTGTCTACCAAGTCTGTTCAAATAAACAAATAAAAGCCCTTGGGTAAAAATTGGCCCGGGGGTGGGGGGGGGGCCTATATACAGGTGAGCGACCTCAGGGCCATCATGGCCCTCTTGTTGATGAATTATCTTAGAAATTGAAACAGTTGATAAATTATCTTGGAAACAGTTAATAAATTATCTTGGAAACAGTTGATATATTATCTTGGAAGCAGTTGATAAATTATCTTGGAAGCAGTTGATAAATTATCTTGGAAGCAGTTGATATATGTTCTCTCATTAAAACTATTGATAGCTTTTACTATTTTGGAAACTGTTAATAGCTGTATTATTTACAGATTGTCTCTTGATTATTTCCAGTAGCCCTAAGAGTACTGATGAATGTAGTCCAGCGGTTGTGGTAAAGAAAAAACGAGTTGTTCCACCAAAAGCCAACACAGCAAATTCAACTGCAAAACACTGACATAGGTAAATGAATGTACATACATTTATAAAGGAATCAGGTATTTGTCAGAAATTAGTTGCTAACTAGAAACAAAGATTGAGTGACCTTTAAAGTAGATGGATACTGCAGACTCCAGTATCTTTAAATGGATTTGTTTTTCTAGATTTTCTATTTTACTTAAAATCTTAAAATTAAAGGACATCGAAGCTAATAATTGAAAAGCGTAAAGCAATTCCTCTTTTTGGACCTTTTATTATGTCAGGTTGGGCCAACTGCTTAGGTTGATTAACTGCAGAGGTAATGCAAAAAAAAAAAATTGAAATCATAGTAATAAAATAAGATAAACATGTGAAGATCTTTTTTAATGAAGTATTCCCATTAATGAACAAAGAAAATTTCAGCATAAGCCTTGATTTTTTTCTACGAAGCAATGAGGATAGTTACGTGTGTGTGATACATCTGATATATGCTTTTCATACCATGTATCCGTTTCATCTTTTTCTTGTCTTTTTATTTCAGACACAGTCATAGAAACAGGAAAATAAATTTGATGTAAACAGAAGTAAGTTAAATGAAATATGAGACAGTACTTTACAGCAGAACATATATGACAACGTGGTGGAATATCTATTTATTTGTGGGATTGCTGATTACTGTTCAAGACTTTTAACTTTAATAGATATGAGTTGCCATCATTGATCATCTTGCTCACTGGAAGAATATTCATGCCTGTACATTAAGAATTACTATGCTGGGCTTATGTTCACATCTTTAATTCTTACAGAAATTATGTCAAAGTTTGATTAATTTTGAAAAGATTTATGGATATATGCTTGTATTAGGCAATATGCAATTGGTTGATATTATAAGCCTGTATTGGGCTCTGTGAAAATTGTACAGGAAGATAAAAGCAAGTATTGGGCTGCCAGTAATAATTACATGTAAGTCTACATTGGGTTGTCTGTAATTGGTAAATATAAGCAAGAATTATTTGCTCGTAATTGGTAGATATAAGCCAGTATTGGGTTGCCTGTAGTAAATAAATATAAGTCAGTATTGGGTTACCTGTATTTAGTAAATATAAGCCTGTATTGGGTGTCTGTAGTTGGTAAATGTAAGATAGTATTGGGCTGTCTGTTATTGGTTGATGTAAGCCAGTATTGGCCTACCAGTAATTGGTAGATATATAAGCCAGTATTGGGCTGCCAGTAATTGGTAGATATAAGCCAGTATTGGGCTGCCAGTAATTGGTAGATATAAGCCTGTATTGGGCTGATAGTAATTGGTAAATATAAGCCAGTATTGGGCTGATAGTAATTGGTATATATAAGCCAGTGTTGGGCTGCCAGTAATTAGTAAATGTAAGCCATTTTATGTCTGTGGATAATGGATAGAATTTTTGTTATCTTGATTAATATTGCACCAAAGTAAGTAACTGGAAAGAATGATGTTTGTTTATTGCCAATAAAGCGCATATTGCATGTGCAAAATCATGGTTAAACTTAACTTAAATAGCAGTTGAACATTATGTTTTCATTTTAAAAAATCCATGTGTATTAAATAACAAAGACCTTTTCATGTTTAAAATTTCTCCAGATATGACCATAAGAATATTAAAACAAGATGTTTGTACAGTTTATTAATTTTATATAGTAAATCTCACTAGTTAGATCTGTACACCCTTCTGCCCTTAACCTGTTTGAATAGAAAGTGATCAACCTATCACCAGTATAGAGCCAGGCATGCCTGCACTTCTGTGCAGACTTGACCAGGCTTTAAACTTTTGGTAACTTTGTATAGCTTAATATTGCAATCTCTTAAAGGAACTCCACTGAGGTCCAAAAGCCTAACAATATAAAATTTGAATTACATATCCTAGCATGAACACTTAAAACAGAAAGATGTGCAAATGATAATTAAGAAATATACTCAAAAATATGTTGAAAGTCATATTTTGTGCTATTTTTAGCCCGATTTGAGTGAAAAGCATTGCAACTTTTGGTCTTTTTTCACATTTAGAATATTATTTTTTTTATTATTTGCTGGAAAAAACCGAGTGAGCAATGATCTGAAAATTTGCACTTAAGTTATTGGTCTAGACCTACATCAAATAAAAGATTTACTTTGAAAAATTATTTCCAGTCCTGTTATGTAAAAAAAAATCTAAGTGGAGTCCCTTTAATGTTTGAATGGACTGTTCCACATTCAAAGCTGGACAGAAACATTGCACAATTTCAGCAGGTTAATGGTTAAAGGTAATATTGAATGATTTTAACATTTATTTTGTTTTGTTGAAATATTTGATCATGTTAAAATGAAATTTAGAGCGGCCTTCAGCTTTTCTAAAGGTTAAATATGTTATTTTTAGATAGAATTGTTACATATTATTGTCAAATCAAAAGAAATTCAAGTGGAAAATAAAATTTGCCATCGATAAAATATATAAACAATAAAGAGACCCCTCTATACCTCTAATCTTCCGGACTGTTCTGTCTATGTAGATTAGTAAGGCGGACAAGATTTCTTATTTTTAGATTTCTATTTTTAGAAACGAATGTCACAGAAACATTATCAATAGCACTCGGGACGCTGTTTTAGAGAAGACTTAACACTGAAATAATGCACATTTCCAAGATAAAATTATTGAAATACTTAGTTTAAAAAAACCCACAGAATTATTTATTTTTTTTCCAATAAAAAATAAAAAGCTGAAGACTGCTTTTAAGGTTATAGGTTACATTGTGCGGAACTTTTTATTGATATTATAATGTTAATGTTATAATCTATACTGTTTACATTATTGTTAGTATGTGGTATTTCTTTGTTAAAATGTTTGATTTGTTTTGTAAGGTGACTGGATACATTAATGTTTAAGGTGCTTTTAAAATGAGCCGTGTCACCACCAACATAATGGGTTTGCGACCAGCATGGATCCAGACCAGCCTGCGCATCCGCGCAGTCTGATCAGGATCCATGCTGTTCGCTATCAGTTTCTCTACTTGTTATAGGGTTTGTAAGCGAACAGCATGGATCCTGATCAGACTGCGCGGATGCGCAGGCTGGTCTGGATCCATGATGGTTGCAAATGCAGTATGTTGGTTTTGTCATGACGCGGCTCAAATATACAAAATGTACTTTACAATTTTAAAGAATTTTGAACATTGTTTGAGTATACATGTGTATTTAAATATGAAGAATTTTGGATAATTGTTTACTTTACAAACTTCTTTATTTACTATAATGGTAAAATAATGAGCTAAAAAATATGTAAGACTAAAGGTTAATTAACCACAAGGAAACTTCATCCCTTTTATTGTAATTCGAGAAAAGAGAAGTTTTATATCAGTAAAGACAAATGTTTAGAAAGGCAGCTACATGTATTTAGATGTAACACTTGTTCAATTTATTCAAATACTTATTTTGTTGTTTTAAAAGTCATTTTGCTATAGAATAATGGAATCTTAAATTATTTTAATTAAGACTTGTTAAAAAAATAAATTCACATATTTTCCCCTGAATTCCATACAATCTTTACCCTTTACAAAAAATTGAGAGACCAACAGTACAGTACATGGCCTGGTCAGACAAGAAATGAAACCAGATATTTTTTGTGCAACTTTACAATACTCATAACTATATTTATGTTGTAAGTAAGCCATACTAATAAAACTGCATGCCTACAGATGTTTTGACAAAAACAAAAATGAAAAATTTATTTTCAAAAAAATCAAATTTTAATTGTTATTGAAAATTTCAGAAATTTAAGTATCCAAAATGAAATCTCCATATTTTGCACATGATGTGAATGACTGAACAATTTTATTCACTGTATTTGTTTCCAGTTTCTTTTTTTGTTAAGGGCTAACCACTTGCCCCTCACTTAGGTTACAGCAAGGGAGATGTATTGTATTGAAAATTATATAAAATATGGCATGAATTTGTTGGCATGCTGCTTTAGGGGATACATGTCATAAAGGTATTAACTTGTAACAAAATTGAATATACTTGGTGGAAATAATACATAAATTATATAGTTTTTATTTTGTTAGTATAATATCTTTTAGTTAAATTGATAACTGTTTATATTTAATGAATTTTATTATATCGCTAAATAAGTGAATATGAATTTAAACTAAAGTTAATTCGTTGTTTGTTATTTTTTTTAGCTCACCTGGGCACAAAGTGCTCAGAGGTGAGCTTCTGTGATCGGAAGTTGTCCGTCGTCTGCCATAAACCACAATATTGATAAAAAAACCCATCTGGTGGGTTTTGACCAAACTTCACAAGAATGATGCTCAGGTGGTCCTCTACAAAAGTTATATAATAGCCTAATTTGTTTATAGGTTTCTGAAGCTAAAAATACTGTAAAATGTAATCTTTTCAAAATATTAGTAGTTAATACAATGCACAGATATTTGGCATGTAGCATGTCGTCACCTTGTGATCCTCTACAAAATGTATATAAATCATGCCTCTTGTGTCAAACTTGGTTTCACACCATACAGCCATTTAGTTTATATAAAGTTACATTGAAATGCATTGATATTTTCTCTTCAATGCGTAAAGCTTAGATATTTGACATGTATCATTACCTGGTGAACCTCCATAAAAAATACTTATTAGTTAACCTCTACAAAAGTTGCCTATGATATGAAAGTGTTCCTGGCTACCTACGAGATGCTGCATCGTTTCTGACTCGGGAACACCTTTATAGCATGCTTCAGGAGTGATGGATTACAAATATCCCAGTACATATTCAGACTTTTTAAGTATTGGGTGTACACTAGTAGGGCTGTTATTCTATTGGTAACTATCCCTCAGATTTTTATTCAGTAACACACATTAGCGCTTCCGAAGCACAAGCACGTATTAAAATCATTAAAAATGTCCCTTAGACCATCATACTAAGAAGTAAACGGGTCATCTTAAAGACAGCGGTGTTCAATTGTGCATTTTGTATTCTATTTTTAACCCATTACGCGATATAAACGCCTTTTAACGTCTTTTTCACCCCACCTCCCTTTTTGTTGTCTCAAATGGTGAAAAATTGTCTTATCTAGGCCCTCAACACTTGTTTTGTTTGAGAAATATTGTTAAAAAAAAGTGACCAAAAGATACATCAGGGGGTTGCCAGAAGGGGGATGTGCCCCCTTCTGTTTGGGGGTTTGAAGAGGGGCGACAGTCCCCCTCATCGCCAAGAAAATTTTGGACTTGTGAGAGGCTAAAATGACCCCAGATTGATTATAAGGTAAGGTGTAACCAACGCTGAAAAGCATTTGACTCCATCTGAATCCATTGAGAAGTTGCAGCACTTTGAAATCAATTTTGATGGAAAAAAATCAACGCAGAATAGTGATTTTTGGCAATTTTGAGATGTCCCCTCGTTGCCATGGTAACAGAAAATTTAAGCCTGAGCATGTTGTTGCAAGGGCAATGGTCCAGTCAACATTTGTGCTAAGTTTGATTAGTATTAAAGCAGTTTTTATAGAATTATAAAAGTTTGAACTTGTAACGGGAGACTTTTCAATGAAAACAGCCATTTTTCACAAAATGCTCATGAAGTAATGGGTTAAATCGCGTCATCAATAATGTATCTAACGATATGGTAAAATTTTTAAGAAGACGTTGCAGTTCAACCTTAAAATTTATATAGAAGTACTTGTGTAAAGAATGTCGCTTTTTATGTGGATATTTGCAGAAACGTAGTGCCAAGTATTTTCATAAATTCAACTGATGGCATTTATTTTGTTTCAATTTGTATTAGAGAACATGTTAGATATTTTCAAAACAAGTATTTAAAGGGACTCCACTGAGATTTTTACATGCTTGGACTGCAAATATTTTAACAAATAACGTTTGCAAAACCCAGTTTTTCCAGTGTATTATTTTTTATTGTGCAATTTGACACTAAAAAAATTAAAGCGTTACAACGCTTTTCACTAAAATCAGGCTTAGAATTGCACCAAAATAATCAATCGATTTTCAATTTAACTTTGAGAATATTGTTATATTATCCTCTGCAGATTTTTTCCATTGAATATAAGTTCTTCACCAGATCTTTTAAAAAATCGATTTTTTTTTAAAAACATTTTCACCTCGGTGGGGCCTTAAAATGGTACGTGATAATAATTAAACAAACTTTAACCAACCAAAGTTCATGACGTAATTAATAACGTCACAGAAGGATGAACGTCAAGACGTCACATAGTGACGGCAATCATAGAGCGGCGCTAACCAAACATTGACGGTTGGCAACAAGCTCTTCACAGCCTAAAATGGCTGAAAAAGATCATCAAGATCTAGTACTGGTTGACATAGAATACGCAGAGATACATCCATTGGCAGAAAATGCAGACGACAATTTCAGAAAAGATATTACGCAAAGACAAGAAACGGAGAAGGAAAGACTTGAACGTATAGCGGATATGTTCTTAGCAAGACCGCTTTACAGCAAAGAGAGTATTGAATATCAAAGTAAAATGAAAAGAAAAGACGAAAGTAAAGCTGAGAGTGATCAACAAGATCTAG